TTAGACGTTTGCACATTTCCATTTTGCTGTTAATTTAAAAAATTGGGTGAAAAACCTAGTTTGAAGCAATTTTTACTTAAAATGGGTAGAAAACCTTTCTTGACTCCAAAATGATGTTTCTTTTCCACAATCCTTCAGGAGAACCAAGATGTGGAGTGGGCGCCTGGGAAAGCCAAATAGATCGTCACACCATTCTGAAACAGTTGGACAAATTACTCCAAGAAAGTATCATAGCAGACTGCAGTGGTTATGGTGTTTTGACTGTTCTTTTAAAGATAATAAGGTATAAGTATTTCCGACTAGTCATAAATTCATTAACTGCAGCAGGATATAAGCCCTCTGTGCTACCAATATTAAAGTGCACCTTTTATTTTTCAATGTCTACGTTCCCCTGTGGGCATAATTTGTACTGTCCATTGAAGGCTATGGATCTCATTGTCTTCAAGTTGTCGTAACATGACCTATTGTCAGAGCGTGTCAGTCACGATCGACCATGGCCACAACAATGCTATGTAGCCTGAGGACATATGTCCTAAGCTAGAAGTTAATCACACAAAGAGATGAGGACAGCTGATTGCTTCCTACTGCATTGTAAGTACGTTTAGGCTCAATTTAATATTTTGGATAAGGTTTTCAAATGGATTTTTCAAAATACTAAAATATCAAAAACTATATCATATATATATATATATATATATATATATATATATATATATATATATATATAATGTTCTGCACCTTGATTCTCCTAAAGGATTGTGGAACACTGGCTAAAGATTGAGACATCATTTTGGAATTTTATGTCAAAATTGCTTCAAACTAGGTTTTGAAGCAATTTTTTTTTTTTAAATGAACGGCATTTAAAAAGTTTATCCAAAAATGTTAAATCATTTGAAAAGCATATCCATCAATATTATATTGAAGCCTTAGTTAGACATTTGTTGTAACATGTTACAATATAGCAGGTAACATTAACATGCTATTGAATCAACAGACTAACCAACAAACTACAGGATTGAAAACGGTGTGTCTCTCCTGAATCTTTGGAATTTATCTAAACCTGAAAAAATATACAATTTACACTTTTGTATAATTGAATTGTTTAGTAATGTGTACTTTATTTTATTGCTGAAAATTAGTTTTCAAAATATGACCTGTTAGCCAGGTAAAGAATATGGCTGGCAAAGGATTGTGGGAGCTCAAGCAGTTGCAGACCTTTATAAGTTTAACGTACATCTATGTAGCACTTTTTCGGCTATTATTATTATTTATAAAGTACAAACAAATCCCGCAGTGCTGTACAATCGGTGGACTAACAGAGAAGTATTTGTACCAAGACGAGTTGGACGCACAGGAACAAAGGATGTTCAGGGCCCTTCTCAAAAGAACTTACATTCTAGAAGGAGTGGAGATAAGTGACCCAAGAAGTAAGGGAAGGATGTATTCCATGTATGGGAAAAGTAGGGTGCTACAACAGTTTACAATATGCACAAATATTTGGGGTTTATTCTCTAATCAGTGGTTTGTGGTGAATTTAAAAAAGAATTGGAGAATTTAGGTCAATATTGGTGAGAAATTCAGTTTGACTTATTTAATCTAATTTTGCAATTTGATTTTCTATTTGGTTCCAATTCATGTTAGTGAATAAACATCTAGCAAATAGCGTAGCAAATAACTGAGGTATTAACTGATTTACGCTAACGTTTAGTAATTGTATGCTATGCTTTGTAATCCACAAGGGTTAAAACGTGTTGGTAATATGTATGCATGCTATATTGTTACAATTCATAACAGCAAAATCCATCAGATGTTCCATATTTAATTTTTTGGAGGCATACAGTGAACCAGATTTGTAAATGGAGTTTTAGTACTATATTTTTGGTTATGTTATTGAAAATGGAACCTTAAAGGGCACCTGTCATTCCCCAAACAACTTATGCTCGTTATATTCAGCATATGATTTTATCTATACATTGTGCTGGCAGTTTTTCTAGCAAATGTATAGATTAGGAGAAAAACCTATTTAGAAATAGAAAATAGTTTTTTTTTTCTCCCAGCTTTCAGTCAATACCAGCAAGAGGTCCCTTTGCTTTCCACCGATAGCAAACACAGTGCATGCTCTGTAGTTGCTATGGAAACTCCCTAATCAGAGTTTCTGACAGCGGTTAGGGAGTATAGGAACAGAGTGGCGTGACAACATTCCAGCGCCGGCATGCTGGCAACGAAGTCAGCGTGCCTACGTCACAGAGAGATTTGCCCTGCTTGGGGATGCCTCCCAAGCAGGGCAAATCAAAGAAGGCGTCGGGAGGAGCACAGACGGAGAAGAGGATGGCCAGGAGGTGGGTGTTCCACAAAAAGCGAGTAAATCTTTATATTTTACATTGAATACACCATGTATCTTTGTGAATGATGGTGCATTCAATGTATATGACAGCGATTTCAGGTAAGTACATTATTTCATAACAGGTTCACTTTAAATCGTCTGTAGTCCTGCTGCTTCAAATTTGTATGTGCCAGTAGTTTCATTCATGAAAAGAGTAACACATCTACTCTGCATGCCAATAGATTTTCCAGGACTGTATAAAGCAGTGAATGATAAATATTTATGTTAGAACTAAGACCACATTAGTTACCCACATTTGATTTTCCTGAATGAACCAGAGGCAGTATGATGTAAGTACTTGATGCTTTCCAACAGAGATAATCTATAGAATTTAAAATAATGCAAATCGTGTCTGGCTTCTCTAAACATTGGGTTATTGTAAGCTTTCCTTTTAAGTCACAATTGGACATTTCCATTTCCCTTAGTAGCTCTGTATTTGAGAAAGATGAGGAATATTGTGAGCAACTTATTGATGCAATGAGGGTGGGCTTGAACGTCTCAAGCATCAGGAATCCCGCTATTCCAATTACTGAAAACTTAAAAGCAGCAACGCAGCCTCCAGCAAGAGACAAGGACAGCCAGATCAGGCCTGGCACAGTTTATCACATGCCTACAACAGCTGTTTTCTGCCATCACTAAAACCTCATACTATTTCCTTGAGCTAAGAGTTAAGGACTAACATTCTTCTGTCAATGATAGCACTTCCGGGACGCCAGACATAGGATGTGCTTCCTGCCAATGGGAAATTAGAACTAGGAATTCCAAAGAAAGGGGGGGAAAAAAGTGTTTATTTTTCCTTTTTCTTTCCGTCTATGTATTTTATAATAAACTACACAACAGCAAATGTTGCAGAGATCACATGGCATTTTTATATTTATAATGAACGCCATGGTTTTGATTCAAGCGCAAGTAACTTTTAGTTAGCTATTACAAAGTGTCTTTTCCTCTAACGTGACCATTCTTTATTTTCTTTGTAACACCATATAAACAAACAAGCACTTGCCAATCATGCCAAATTATGTGAAAAGCCATCTTTGATACTTTCAAGACTAAATCTGATTAATACAGGCAAAAAAAGAGCTTGTGTCTGTATCGAGTAATGCATTTACATGGAGTGCAGTGTCTTCCAGCACAGCTCCCTCACAGATCATGATGCAGAGAAGTTGCGTGACATCAACGATCTATATCAGGCCTCATACTCCACATATAATCACAGACCCACACACAGTCACAAACTTACACACTTATACACAATCACAGACACTTGCCCCACCTCCCACACACACAGCCAATCACTGACAAAACATACACAAAAATCACATACACACCCACTTAGTACTAAAGAAGTCAACCCAGCCTCGCTACCTTGCTCTAGGAGGGCTGGAATGGATTGTCTGTCCCTGGTGGCCAGTGCTTGCTGCTGGTGCGGGGACTGCTGTGCTCTTTCTGCACATGTCCAGCGCACAGAACGTAATGGATTCCCTGCTTCCCTCTATGCCCATTAATGCGGATGGCAATAAGGCCTCATGGTTAGCGGTGCCGGCCCACGGGTTGGACACCCATGGTCTACACAAATGCATACACACTGTTTGCTTAGTACAGAACTGTAAATGTTAGGCTTTACACTCTCAGTCACTGTCTAAATTCAGTTAGAGCCAAAACAGAGAAATCTTTCAGTTTAACCCCTTAAGGACACATGACATGTGTGACATGTCATGATTCCCTTCTATTCCAGAAGTTTGGTCCTTAAGGGGTTAAATACTTATTGACTACTGTATGTGAACATGGATTTTATAGTTAACATTTTTGATTTGCAAAACTGCTACTTCTTCTGATAATGTACAGGAGTAGTGGAGATCAATAAAATGAATATAAAACAAACCTGAAATCAGAACCCACATTATAACAATATGATTCACGATGTTTATATAGAAGCTCAGCCAACCCCAGCCAATAGTTAAAGGACCACTCTAGGCACCCAGACCACTTCAGCTTAATGAAGTGGTCTGGGTGCCAGGTCCCTCTAGGATTAACCCCTTTTTTTTATAAAACTGCTATGTTTACACTGAGGGTTAATCCAGCCTCCAAATCCTCTAGTGGCTGTCTCATTGACAGCCGCTAGAGGCGCTTGCGTGCTTCTCACTGTGAAAATCACAGTGAGAACACGCAAGCGTCCATAGGAAAGCATTGTAAATGCTTTCATATGTGACCGGCTGAATGCGCGCGCAGCTCCTGCCACGTGCATTCAGCCGAAGAGGAAGATCGGAGGTGGAGAGCTCACCGCTGGAATAAAGGTAAGTTTAATCCCGTTCCTTGCCATCCAGCCCGGCGGGAGGGGAACCCTGAGGGTGGGGGCACACTCAGGGCACTATAGTGGTCCTTTAACTGTTCCTCACGTTCTATTAGTTTTCTTTAAACTCACATTTTCCCATTTATTTATTAGTCAAAATATTATACTTAACATACTTCTGTCTTTATTTAAAAATATAAAATTCAAAACCTCAAGAAATTTTTTTTAATCAAATTTAATTATATGCATGCCATGGTGGATTTGATTTAAATCACTAGGAACTAAGACTTCATTTAAATCAAGATTTTTTAAACATGACTAATTCTTGCTGTTTCCTATAATTCTGATCATTCCAACCAGATGGCAATTTCATATTTAGAATAACATAACTTTTCAGATTAGTTTGAGTTATATCAGAGCTGTTTTGTAATATACCATTAGAAATACATAGATAATGATTAAATTATTCAAGGTGCACTAACCCAAGCTTACACAAATATGCACATACAGACTTGAAGCGCCATGACCTTTTCAAATCACTGTGGCGGTTTGGGTAAACCTTTAAGGTAAGGTGTTAATTGTGTGATCAAAGATTAGGATAACAATGGGGTTGGTCTTTTTGTAACTTTTTTGCTGTGAAAAGGTGCAAGTTATCTCTGCAGACAAATGTTCAAATAACTTGATTAGTTAAATTTACCAAAAATGTAAATTTTGCATGAATATACAGCCTTTTGCTACATAACTAATCCCTGCTTCATACTGAATAATCTTTATTCTACAATCTACGAACACGGAAGTTCCTCTAGTGGCTGTCTAGTAGACAGTAGACAGCCACTAGAGGAGGACTTAACCCTGCAATGTAAATATCGCAGTTTATGAAAACAGCAATAATTACACTTGCAGGGTTAAGGGTAGTGGGAGTTGGCACCCAGACCATTCTAATGGGCAGAAGTGGTCTGGGTGCCTGGAGTATCCCTTTAATATAAAAAATAAACCAGTTTTTATTAAATCGATTTTTATCTAACGTGATGCAAGCTACTTATGGAAAAAAAAAAAAATTCAGCATTTTTTTTGTATGTCTGACTTTTGGCCTGAATGAAGAAAAAAAATTATGAAGCAATCCAAAACAAATGTATAGACATTTTTATTATTTTGACTTTGGTCTTTATATGTGCACAACTTGAGTGTTGAAACCACTTTTTGATACTTAGGAAGCATTTTCTAGGAGTGCAATAAAAAAAAATAAAAAGTAACTAAAGAATTCACTAGAGTATGTGATAAAACTTAATAATGCCATAAAATGCCTCTATCATACAAATTTTTTTTTATAAAAGATCAATTTACAGAGAATATAATTTAGGCTATCCAGTTTGACAGCTTAAGCTGCAACAAATATAAACATTAAATGTATTTTTTTTCTGTAGGAAACTTTGCAGATTATTAGCCCACTGTAACACAACAACTACATTTGGCAGAGTTTTAATCCAACGTATGAATACTCCTGAAATAAATCTACACATTAATCTCTGTGATAACCAATTGCTCTCTAGCAGTTTATAAAATGGTTTAGGTGTAGGGGAGGGTGAAATCCATAAGATCTTCTATGACAAGGGAAGCAAAATATATCACATATTTCCACAACTGATTATAGACAAACCACAAACCAAAAAGCACGATATGATATAATAAATACAAGAATTGTGATTTTTTTTTAATCTTAAAATGCTGCACAACAGAAGAGCATCCACCAAAAACATTAGTACAATTCCACTTAAAATTGCTGGGGTTCAGAATTGGCAGATTTTTTTTAATGTTCTGTTTCCAATAGTAGATCTCCAAAATTAATTAAGAAGTTCAATGTTATGGTTCCAGAATACGTATCCAAATCTACACAGCAGTGCCTCTCTCCAAATTCTGTTTGATCTCCGCTGTATATTTTCCATAAAACCTTTCTGCTTTCTTGTTGAATTTCGCGTTCCTCTCATTGATATAGTCAATGTCGGCATCATCATTGTAGGCTCTCCTCCGGCTGTATTTTTCACGCTTTTCAATCCTGTGATACAAATATTTACTTTACAAAATGCATGCATTCAGAAAGACAGGCGTGTTTGGAAATGTTGGAGTATGGAACTCATTAAGATGTGTGTGCAATTCAAGATTTAGTAGCCCCTCACTTTAGTATTGCAAATATATGCTCATTTAAATAGCAGGCAGATCATGTTAGAGAGAGCATAGGTATACATGTGTGTATTATATATTCACATATATGCTAGACTGCACATTGACAACATACAAAGTGACTAATCTTTGGAGCTACGATGAGGCAGATTTTTAAGGACTTCGGGAAGGTGGCAGCTATATACATTTGCCGGTCACTGCTATGCAGCATATTAAGTCGCAATACAATATATATCTTAAAGCATTTCAGTTTGTGTAAAGAGGGAGTCCTGTTTTAGCATTTTACAAAAAGTTAAAATTTTAATTGAAATTGGCACTTTTCTAAATTAACCAATTGTCTGATATCTAGTCCTGTTCCTGGTTGTTTAACTCAGTGCAGCTAAACCCAAGAGAAAGGCAATTGCCTAAAGCAGTTGTTCCTAAATCAGTCATCATTTCCTCCTGTCAGTCCAGGATTTAGGGATTGCCCAGTTGTGTCTAAGGTATTTTTTCCCTTTTTCCCCCACAAGAGATCTGCAACTTTTGCAAGCTGTTTATAGTTATACCCCCAATTTAAAAAATTGCATGCATGTATATCTATTAAACAGTGATTTTTATTGTTTTGTATATGGGCAGTGGAGTGTACCTTTAAAGCTAATCTTAGTAATACAAAAAAAAAAAAAATCCAATACAAAACACGATCGTAGTAAACCATAGAAGTTAACTTACTGTTTTTCAAGATCTGTGACCATTCTCTCAACTCCTTCTTGAGAAGGAACGTGTGTCCCATGGTACAGGCTGTCTGATGTAGGGTAAAATTCCTCACCACTAATGAAAAAAAGATTGTTAAACGTGATAAGAAAAATATTTCAACCAACATATTTTGTACTTAAAACCCTTTCACTTATATATTTTCTGTTAATTTGATCTTGATATATTCAAATTTATATATTCAGAATGCATTGCAAACAATAGGTTCCCTTGGTCAGTCAATAATCAGTCCATTATGGTACGCCTCTACACTTCGTTGTGTAATTTGCCCTGAAGAAACAGAAATATTCACCAAAACAGCTGGAAAACCCCCTCACATTTGCTACATGCTGGATCACTTGGGATTAACAAACTCCTACACTGTAACATACAGCAGACCAGAATTCTTCAGTTCCTTTCGCTTGGACAAATTCTGTAATGTACATCCACTTGTTGTAATATAGCTTAAAAAGATGCAGGTAGGAGCTGCATTTCATCCCAGTGAGCACTCTGTGCACTGGAACAGGACAAGCAATCCCACAACGATAATGTAACAACAAAAAAATCTCCAGGCAGTTCAAGCCGCAGGCAGAGAACAGCAATGTTTCGACCTGCCAAGAGGTCTTTGTCAAGCAGGTCAAAAATCACATGGACTAAAACACAAATGCTCTACAGCTGTTGGACAACAGTGACATATGGATCAAATACACACACACACCACTGTGTTGAACTTTTCTATGATCAGCAGAACTGAAATTCAAATGGGAGAGTTTTCTTTTCAATAAACATGCACCTCCTGGAGTAATGTATTCCTTTTCTTTGTATTAACAGTATTAAAACTCCTAAATCGTGCAGTTCAGCTATAAATTCAGAGTTTCTATAATAAACCCCTTGTTACAGTTTGAGGTTTGTTTACTAAACAGTGAGCTGGCCTAATTTGTACACTTCTCAACTCTCTGTTTATTGAATAAACCCCCTATATATTTAGTTTTAGATCATTTACAGCCATTGTATAATATTCACAGATTGGTAACAGATGTTCACTATAAAACACTGACCGGGTTACGCGAGCCCCCACCACAATAACAAAAGGCTATCTTCACTTACTGCTTCTCTTTTTCCTTTTCATAGTCCTCCAGGTTTGGTTTAATTTGTTTGGTCAGCCTCTGGTATTGACGCAACTGTGCCGCAGCATAATCTACAAAACAAACAGATTGATAGTGCAATACATATTTTACATGCCAAGTATTAGGCATACTCTTAATATGAGATAAAGAATAAAAAGGAAGCCTCACAACAAATAATAATAATGTTGCCTGCTATCATAAAATGTTGGTAGTTGTAGTTACCCAAAAACAGAAGCCAGGCTTGAATGCCTGTGCTCTAGAAATGACATGTACAGTCTGCAGCAGCAGAAAGTTGCCCTGAGTATCGTATTGCATAAACGCATCTGTTACCTGAAAATCCATTGTCTGGATTCTTTCGTTTCTTCTTCCTCTCCCATCTCTCTGCATCTTCAGCACTAATTTCCAGTAACTTTGCTCTATGGTAATCAACCCCTTTTTCAGCACATTCCTATAAATTTGAAGAAAACATGATTTAATGAACGAGCTTAGTAGTGAAGAAGAAAAGTATCACGTGTCACGTTCTTTAGCATGACTAGAGCAGAATGATGAATTTCTTAATATATATTGGGGAGCATTACTAATTCATATTAGTAGTAGTCGCAGGGTACAGAGGAGGACCAGAGTGTAGGAGGCATAGGTGCTGTAGTGCTTGCAAAGGATAATTGGGGCTGTAGTGAGTGCAGGGGGATGTTGGCTATATGGGGTAATATAGGTTTAGAGGGTAAAAGGGGCTGTAGTGAAAATTGGGGTAAAAGTGGATGTAGGGGTTAATAGGTGCTGTAGTGAGTGATTGGTTAGGGGCTGAAGTGGGTGCAGGGGGTAATAGGGACTGTAGTGAATATAGGGACTGAGGTGGGTGCGAGGGTGACTAGACGTCACTGTTTTATCCGGATTATCCCTTTTTTCGCCCGCTTGTCCCGGCGTCCCGAAAATATTTCTTGGGACGCATAAATGTCCTGGTTTTTGCAGAGCTGGATCCTTTCCTCATGGGCTGACCGGGGAGATCGTTTCATCTCCCCTGCCGAGCAGGTTCTGTTATCTGCCTTCCTGGGCCAGTGGGGAGATCTAGGCATGTTGAGCAAGCAGGTCAGAGCACTGCCGCGCGTTACCATGGCAACGTTCCAATACTGCACTGTACTCCCGGGAGGAGAGAGTAGTCAACCTGCAGCCAGATGAGCTGCAGACTGTACTGCAAACGTCACCACTGGACCACCTGGCATTCAAAAGTCCCCCCCCCTTCCTCTCTGCACTATTTTCTGGTCTCTTTTACTTTAAAGTGTAAGAAGATTCCACTATAACGATGACTTCATTCTACACCTAATTAAGGATGATGTGCCTGACATTCCCTGACCTTTTGTGAGATTTCCTTTTACTATTGCGTGTTTTTACTTCAGTATACACTGACCACACTGTGTTTAGTTTGTATTCCTTGTAGACATCACAGACTATGCTCTCACAAATAAGGTTGGGTTATTCCTTTGTTTACACCTTGGAATTCTATACTTTGGTCATTTGCATCCCTACCTATTTGTATGGAGTGTTATACACACCCCCTAAACAACACCCCTTATTGGTAGTATCACGGGCGTTGTTAGCCAATCAACAGACTTAGTGGGATATTTAAACCCGGAAACAGCAGCACTCAGCATACCGATTGATAAAGCCGGACCAGCAAAATGGGTATCGGACTTCACATAAAGCAGAAACGTTTTTCAGTTTATGCTTATATTTATTTTAATTTGTTTGTTTAATAAATTGCATTCTATATGGAAATGCTGTTCTGTGGAGTAATCTACACTGCTGCTGCTAAAGAAGGGCTGTATCCCCTTTAATGATAAATATGTAGTTATACTAGGTGCCAGGCCTAGGGCACCTAAGAAGGTGAGAGGCCACTGTGTGTTTTTATTTACTCATGCATTTTAAGAGTTCATGCACCAGGATTAGCTGTACCACCATTTTGTATATATAGATATTTTACCCATTCAAGAAGAAAGATCTTATTTTACCATCACGCTTTCAAGACTAAGAGATTGGAATGTTTGTTGACTGTATAGCTTAAACCTTGCAGGGTAAGCTTTAATATTTATTTTAGCGCTCACCACTTGTTACTATTAGTTCTTGTTAGAACAGATACTCTACACTCTATATGGTGACTATCTGTATTGTGTTTGAGCTGCTTACAATAAAATATTCACTTTATTGTATATAAATATTATACACTTTATGGTATTTATAAAAGAGCCTTGAACAAAGAGCACTTTTTGTACATTGAAATGCTGTACATACCTTGAGATGATAATAAGGAAATCTCAGCAAGAATTGTGTTATTAATAAAATAAAAATCCTGTATTCCAGCGCCAATTAGGAGATAAAACTAGTGTTTCTCATATTAACCGCAATGAGTGGTTTGATAAGATATAGAACACATTCAACATTATGCAGGTTCTTACCCTTTTCTTTTCTTCCTCCTTCAGCTCCCACTCTAATCTAGCTTTTCTAGCCTCGTGGTTACTAGGCAGTTTCTGTCTTTTATCTTCTTCTACAACCTCCTGGTGATTTAGCTTGCGAGCTTCGTTCTGTAAAATGTAAAACCAGGTCAAAGTAAAATGTAAGTCAAAACCATCCATCAGTCAATAATTTTTGAACACTTGCATTCTTTCTACTATTCAAAATCAAAACTGCATTCCTGCTCTTGAGAATTCTTGCTCAAATGTTGAAAACCTTACTGTGTGTAATTGATGTCTTTATTGCTTGTTTCATGGATTCTTTGCCATAAGACAGGACACGGTAAATAGTTATTCACTGGAAGTGTGAAAGGTCTACAATAAAAAGGTAAATTTGAAATTGTAGGCCCAATAAATTGAATTGAAAACACAGCTGACTTGGAGAATGCCTCCATTTGTACTATACTGGCCTACAATTTGAAATTGTTTTTGAAGTCCCAACTATTCCATAAAAACCAAGAGTAATGCAGTGGAATATAGACAAATTATCCTTTCATACTTTCATAGAGATCCCTAGTGCTGATTGTGGTTTTGCATAAGACACTGAAGGGGAATGAGAGGTATGAGGGAAGATCACAGAATATCAGTGTTTCCAAACCAACTTTTAATTATCGCTTAGCTTATCTGTACTATTTCTGTCACTGCAATGTGTTCGTAGCAAGTACAAAGCTGAGCTTGTGGTTTGAAGATCTGTTCTAAGCTTTACTGTATGCCATACAAGAAGATATTCAACCTTAGAATAAAAAAAAACAAAATATTTGAGAAAAACAAACGCTTAATCAGGCTAGCATTTTAGGTAATTTGAGGTTTTGAACAAGGCACAATGTTAAATAACAGGAAAATTATAAATTTTTATTTTAAAGAGTCAAATAATCAGGTGTTCCTTCTTAATAGTACATTCTACTAAGGATTTAAGGCAGGTAACCATAAATAAATGATGGAATAATATATAAAGTATGTCTTTCTACTATTCAACACAACACATTGCCACTAATGCTGTGCTCACTTATGCACATATTGAGATTTCTTACCCTTTTCAAATGAAGCTCTCGGAACTTTCTTAACCTTTCTACTCTTTTCAGAGCTGACGAATCCTCTTGAGTCACAGAGGATGATTCTTCCTCAGAGGAAACCTAAAAAAAAATATAATTTATTAATAGAGCTTCAATGCACCGAAAACAAGATAATATGTGTGTGTGTAATTCACGCAAAAACAATATTTTAGTAAAACATAGTTTTAGGATGCAGAAATCGTGCTGCCATGATCCAGGATTGAAAGAAAAGAAGAAAAAAAAAAATCTTCGATCCCCTGCCAAGTTCTCTCTGCAGTCTGATCTTTCCAGAGATAGAGCTGAGAAGAGTATATGGGCAACCACTGAGTGGAGGAGTGCCATCAAAGGCTATCTGTAGTCAGCAAGCTATGCGTGCTGACAACAGACACCCAAAATGCACAAAATTAACATTCGCCAGGATGGAACTCTGGTTTTAAGATGGTTAAGGAGTTACACCTCAAACAGCACAGCATGTATGCTAGTGAAAACACTGTATACACAGACTCTAAAAAATAATAATCCCAAAGTGACCCAGATGTTTCCATTGAACAACCAATTGTCAAGACACTGCATAAGACCTATTATAGCCCCGCAAATAAAAAGAAAACACTGCTTGCTATATGTATGGACTTGGTTATTCACTAACCTGATAACTGTAGCCAACCTAAATCCATATGGCCAACCTAAATCTGATATAAAGAAGCTGTGACTATAGCGGAGTTGAAGAATCTTTCCAAATCAGCTATTTTAGACTAGAATGTCCCATTGTGTTTTCGTTTCACAACAAATATGGTTTTGGTGGATAACCACGTACAACCAACAATTCACCAATACATTTTAGCCAAGAAAAAACGGCTAAAGATCCTGGTAAAATGATACACAAGTGTTAACTCCCAATAGTATACAGTGGTAATAGCTACACTGAAGTTCTTGAGAACTCCATGTCTCATGATGATCAGACACCCAAATCAATGTAACAGGAGATTCATTTGCCATCAGGCTGCATTAGTAGCTGCCTGCCAGGGGCTCCTGGTACTACAGTGCATACAGCCCTCTGTATTGGTCATGGTTTCAGATAGTAGTGTTTAATGTGTCATTATACTTATATTGTGCTTCTGGGCACATTTCATCGGGTTGCTTACCTACTAAAACGAGGCATCAATAAGCAGTATACACATATTCATATATATATATATATATATATATATATATATATATATATATTATATGTAAATATTGCTTAGGACAGGCATAGGCAACCTTTGACACTCGAGATGTTTTGGACTACACCTCCCATGATGCTTTGCTTGTAGTCCAAAACATCTGGAGTGCCAAAGGTTGCCTATGCCTGGCTTAGGACATGATGCTCTGCTGTGTACTTGATCTCTTAGATTTGTGCTTTGCTAAATGTCTCAATAGAAATGTGATTTACAAACACATCCAGGAAAACATGGTTGGCATGGGAACCCTACCCTTTAGGAATTCTCACATTTAATCAGTTTTAGTACATGGCACCTGGTGGTTTTCATTCCGCCTGAGCTTTTCTTGGGCCTGATAATTATGATGTGAGGGATTGTTCTCATAATCCAAACTAAACACTGACTCACAAACCCTGGAAGCCTGGCTTTCCCCTACACACCCCTGATGATCCAGCCTACCTTATCATCTCCGAGCTCAGCGCTGCGTGCCACCTCGGCCGCCATCTCTAACACCACCACCACAACAGCAGCAGCAGCAACTTCCGCCCGCGACTTCCGGCAATCCAGGCTGTGCGTGACGTGCAGCGAACGTCGCTCTGATCATGCGCTGAATCGTGGCGTTCGGACGTTCCATTCCGTATCCTGGCAACGACTGACGCTATGATGTCGCTAGCGGTGAGTAGCCATGGAACGTTCACACTGTCAGACTGGATGGTAACGTTCCACCGTCCGGTATCATGACATTACTGCATGGCTGTGCGCTTCATAGTTACATCACGGGGAATCCAGGAGTTACACAGACATAATGGATCCAGTTTGGAAATATGTCTGCAAGATGATAGCTGATCTTTTTTTTCCCCTTATGTGAATTTATTTATTTTATTTTGGTTTTAAATGGACAATTTAGGCACCATAACAACTTCATCTAAATTAAGTTGTTATGGTGCCTGGAGTGTTCCATTTAGTCGAGTTCGTTTACCAGGATTAGTCATATAAAGACCTTTAAATGTTTTGTATATGTAATGCTATAGACCAGGGGTCCTCAAACTCCGGCCCCCCAGATGTTGCTGAACTACAACTCCCATGATTCTTTGAATTACATAGGTAGCCAGAGAATCATGGGAGTTGTAGTTCAGCAACATCTGGGGGGCCTGGAGTTTGAGGACCCCTGCTATAGACCTCCAAAGGTTAATAAAATATATTGAAAGTGAAATGTGCATTAAAAAGAATAATGTGTTTTTGGCGAATAAAATGGTCTAAACAGTACATAATATTTGTCTTTGAGTGCTATATGTACATTATCTTTAGAGGATTGCATTAAAGGGACACTATATTCACCAATACAACATTAGCAGTCTGACTGCTCAATTCTCTGTCATTTAGGAGTTAAATCACTTTTGTTTTTGTTTATGTGGCTCTAGCCACACCTCCCCTGGATGGGACTCACACAGTCTGCATGAAAACAAAATTGCTTCGTTTTCAATCATATGTAAGTTAATTTAAAAGTTTTTATCTCCTTCTCAGTAAATTTAACTGTAATTACATGCAAGAGGCTCCTGCAGGATCTAGCAAGCTATAAACAGAGCAGGAGATAAGAAATTCTAAATTAAACAGAATTTGCAATAAAGGAAGTGTAAACATTAGATGACTCTTTACAGGAAGAGTTTAGGAAGGCTGTGCAAGTCACATTTAGGGAGGTGTTACTCGGGCTGCAAAAACAACGTGATTCCTCCTAAATGGCAAAAAATTAAATAATGACACTGCAAGGACATGATCTATACACGAAAACTCCTTCATTAAGCTAAAGTTGTTGACTATAGTATCCCTTTAAGTGTCTAGGTTTTCTATGTTGGTTTAGGTATCAGGGCTTAGTTATTAAACAGTGCATGTTATTGAAATGACAATGGAATTACATGTCATTGAACAAAATAGTAGAAGATTTTCTCTTACTCAGTTATTGTTTCAGTTTATCAGTTTTGAGCTTAATTTCGCTATGTTCTTTTTGGAGTGCTTACATTTTCTCTTTTCAACCACCTTCACTGTTGAGTGGATTTTGTGAAGAAAAAAAAAACCTAAAAAAGCAATTACCTAAGAAGGAATTCTATTATTTTGCAAGAAAGTGCTACAAGGTTCTCATGTGTTGGTATATCACTCCAGCTAAAAGTCATAAAAGATTAACATGATAGATATTTTGTGGGAACCATAGTACGTATATCAACATGTGGTGGCCATTCGTTGGCTCTTTTTGGCAGTCTACTAAAAAACAAACTTGTTTTACAAAGGATACAATTACAGTAGGCCCTATAGCCAGTTTATCTTATTGAATTGGTTATATTTCCTGGAGTCCCCTGGCGTTGTCCCTCCATTCATTGTTAAACAATTTTTTTCGAGCAGTTTAACACAGAATGGAGATTCCAGGCTTCCCATAGTCCCACCTCACTGGGGGAGTGGCTTAGGCAATGGTTGCACACTTCCTTGTAGCCATACCGATTCATACCTGCAAAGGCACTGTGATAGACTGAATGCGGTCATCTGGCAGCCAATCACAGAAACCCATTGCTTCCTCATTAGCCAAAAGGGGGAAAAAAGCACAGAGGGATTGGATGCTGGGAACTTTTGTTTAGCATTAAAACATTGTACATTAAACCACTTCAATGGGATGAAGCTGTCATGGTGTCTACAGTGTCCCTTTAAATCTTATATGACAACTTGGCTCACATGGTTAGCTTCTATAGCAAGTCACTCATTGACTGCAATGGCAGGTGGTCACTCTGTCTTGCAGCACAGCCATTCTCTCTATACCTGTCCTATGCCCCTAGACCCTGCCCCATGCCTTTTTTATTTTCTTTTTTACATCTCCCCCAGGTTATCTGATTTGACCTGCCATTTGTTAATATGGTTTAAAGGACCACTATAGACATCCAGACCACTTCAGCTCAATTAAGTGGTCTGGGTGCCAGGTCCATCTAGGGTTAACCCTGCCTGCTGTAAACATAGCAGTTTCAGAGAAACTGCTATGTTTACATATGGGTTAATCCAGCCTCTAGTGGCTGTCTCATTGACAGCTGCTTGAGGCGCTTCCGTGCTTCTCACTGTGATTTTCACAGTGAGAAGACGCCAGCGTCCATAGGAATTCTTTCCTATGCATTGACTGAATGCGCGTGCGGCTCTTGCTGCGCATGTGCATTCAGCCGATGATGTCGGAAGGTGGAGGAGAGTCCCCAGCGCCGAGGGAGCCCGGCGCTAGAGAAAAGTGAGTGTTTTTGTTTTTTTTAATTCTTTATTTTTGGTGCGTTTTCAGATTAACACAAATAGGTCCGCCCACAACAGCCAGGACTGGCATTGTAACAGTAATGCAGGGTAACAATGTTAGATATTGGGTTAGTAGACAAGGCATCATAATAAACATTTTGCACTTTTTTGTTTATGAGGTGTTAACTCCCGGTTTAAAGGAGGGAATGATATGTGTGGTTTCTGCAGTGTGGGAGCAGTTTTCCTCCCTCTGGTCCGGGTTGGATAGTATACTGTGTTGTTTAAGAGTCCGTGGAGGCTAAGTGTTAGTATACTGTATATTCATGAGTGGGTTAAAGTTTGTACATGCGGGTACTAGTAGTTTATGTTGCAGTAGTGTTTTAGATCATGAGTGAGCTGATAAGGGAAGCGTGTAGGTAACCAAGGTGTGAGTGGTGTTGACCTGAGGATTGTTTCGGTTTCCCTAGTGGGTAGGTACCCCTAACCAAGGGGGCAACGGGGGGGGGGGGGGGGGGGGGCTGTACACCTCTTGTGGATGTATCTCATGTGTGTATGTGAGACGGGTCTGAGACTGCCCCTCTCTGGGTCCGTTAGTATGTGAAACGGGTAATAGTAGGTTGTTAAGTATATGTGCCGGGTAAGATTAGGGTAACCATTAAGATGGGAGAGATCTGAACAAAGGTTAGTGTAACACATAGTATAAACCAAGAACATTGGTGATGTGTCATAGTTCGTTTCTCGGTGTGGGGTAGCTGTGCCCTCTCCTTGGTCAGTCAGGTTGTTGGTGCGGCTCTCGGTACAAATGGGATCATTGACTCGGGGTCCCAGGTGTGTTCGACTCGGGGAGCAGAAGTTGTGGTTGCCTCTTCTGTAAGGCCCAGCTTGTGGAGTATTGCAGGTGTTTCCGATTCAGTTGTGAGCTTGTGGGTCGTCCCGTTGTGTGTGATTAGTAGGGATCTTGGCGCGCCCCATCCGTACGTTATCCCTGGGGTTATCCCTGGGGTTTTTCCCCTCACTGCTGCCATGATCTGGCCCTTATCTTGTGGTGTACAGCAACGAAGAATGACATCGCCAGTGATTGGGGCTGCCATTTTGGTGATGGTGGGCAGTCGGTACAGTCCATTTATAGTGAATTTCTTGGCTAGCGTTGATGGCAACAGTGAGGCAATTAGCCTTATATAGTGAGGTAATTCCTCTGCGTCGATCTCAGGGGGGACCCCGCGGATTTTAAGATGATTGCGGCGGTGTCTATCTTCTTGTGCAGTCATCTGAAGTGACATAGCCTGCTGTGTGTGTTTTTTAGGCGGTTCAGTTCAGCTACTTCATTGTGTAGTTTCCCAATGTCCCCTTTAGTGTGTGTTGTCCTATCATTGAGCTGCTGCATATTAGATTTTAGGGAGGCCATGTCTGCAGTTAGGAGCTTCTGTATTTCCAGCAGTGTGTTCTGCATGTTGTGCAGATCGTGCTTAGTGGCAGGGGCTGTGCCTCCAGGGCTATCCCCAGCCATGGAGTTTGGATTCCCTTGTGTTGCTGAGATTGTGTTGTGTGTCTGGTTTGGCAAGTCAGGGGACGTGTGGGTGTCATGGCCGCCGGCAGCCGCCATTTTGGATGGTACCTGTCGTTGTAGGAGTGTGCCAATATCCTGCTGGTCTGTTTCTGGAGCGGATTGAGGTCTCTGGGAGCGGCGCCCCATTGTTGTGGAGGAGCTATGGAGAGTTGAAGAGGGGTAAGTGGGGATGTCCGCTGCTTTGTGCGAAAAGTTTTTTGAGGTCGGCGAGCGTCGGCGCGTAGTAGGCTGCGATTCTCCTTTTCAGCTTGGTGTATTGGGGTATATTGTACCTCGGGGTGTATTGAAAGGGCATCAGGCGATGTCGCGGGTTGTCCCCGACCCATACCCGCTGTGTTCAGGGCTGGATGAAGTCTTTATGGGTGATTTTAGACGGATTTTGAATGCCGGGAAGGAGCTCCCAAAAATAGCGTCTAACCCGTCTCGCTGCCAGGCTCCGCCCCCAAAAGGTGAGTGTTTAACCCCTTCCTCCCACTTCAGCCCAGCGGGAGGGGGACCATGAGGTTGGCAGACACCCAAAGACCCTATAGAGCCAGGAAAGCTGGTTTGTTTTCCTGGCACTATAGTGGTCCTTTAATGTTTGGCACTGGCTTACTATACAATGGGTTTGGTATATCAATTTCTACAACATTGTGACATGGTTTCTGTATAAATAAATATACAAAATAATAATGTTAAACAAGGACTCAATAGTTGTCACACATGTAAATAAAACAGTAAGTTTGTTAGTGCCATTAACATTGCTAGCATGGCTAAATAATGTCTGTTTGTGGACATCTAGCCAGCAAACATTAGGTAAAGTTAGTTTGGCCAAAACCGAGCACCTGTACTCTGGGGAGCTGTACCTGTAAACCCTTTTAAGTACAGGTTAGTGGGCTCGGTATTTCAGTATGAACATAGAAAAATGGAATTGGATTTTTCAATATCTCTGCTTAATGCTGAGGGACTGAATGGAGACCCTGCATTTCTCGCCTGGTGAAGACTGTTGCTAGAGAACTGGGAAGGGAAGGTAGGTGTGTGTGTGTGTGTGGAGGGGGGTGGGGGGTGGGGGTGCACTGGGGGGAGTTTGGTTGCTCTAGAAATCAGCCATGCTTGTCGTTGGTGAATTTATTTCCACTGGAAATAAACCAAAGGGGATTTTTTTTGGTTCATATTGCACCTTCTCAAAGCATACACAAAGCTCAGTGTGATTCAGAATTTCACTTTCATGGTGTGGAAAAAAATTCCCTACATTCTGCTTGTAGAGGAGGTAGATTTTATGATGTAGGTTACCCTGGACTGTGTGTCGTTGGGCCATTTTGTCTATACTAAGGTGTCACATTCATCAGATAACTTTACCAAATTGGACTGGAATAACACCCTGACACATGATTCTGCATTTCAAAGGACATTGCAAGCTGTTAGGATATCTGCAACTATGCCTTGATATATTTTCAGAACCATTTCTACTTTGAATTTTCTATGTATAATGTAACAAAAGCCTAGCACTCAGCATCTTCCCGTTTAAATTAGCCCAGCTGCATCTCCGACAGAGTTATTGCAAAATAGAGAGAGCAGTCATGGGACTTACAAATAGTTTTTATATGTTGCCTTATGTGATTAATACAACGTTTAGAAACTATTTCTAGGTCCAACTAGTGCACTCTTTTTTGCAACAATTATACATATATAATTATATATATATATATATATATATATATATATATATTAGGGAAAAAAGAGCACTCTGGCATTTTCCTTGAAAAAATTAATTATAGAAACATAACAAACATGTAATTAACGTGTTGGCTCCCTCAGCATCTTTATGAAGATCATCTTGAGGGGTTGAAACTTTGATCACGTTTGTTATCCTAGCGAGTGCTCTTTTTTTCCTATTTTGTGATGTGTGCCAAGAGGCATCCAATTGCTTACTGAGCTTTTATTTTCCACAAGGCTCAGAGCCAGAGTCTTAATGTATATATATTACTGATCGTAAAGCCATTGAAATGTCTGTTTCAGATAATAGAGGACCAACTGCATAAATGTGGCTACAAGACGGATTCTGATGTGTCAGAGCTGTACCTTGGCAGAAAGTAAGTACATACCGTATGATGTCAGAAGATAATGTACCCTTCTATGTGCCCTCCAGAGTTTCACACCAGCAATTTGGTAATACAGTTCCTTTTTTCAAAGTATAGCCACACAAACAAGCCTGTTCCTTTGTATAAAAAAAGGTTGTCTTCCTAGGTAGCAGTTAAAGCAAGAGGTTGTGCCGTAGTGAATTTTTAAATGTTTTTTCTAAATGTAGTTGGTGTTCTGCTTTTTTATTATTCTTTAAAAAATGAAGGGAAAGTGTTGTGTTTCACTGTAAACATCCCAGGACACATCAATGTCTTAAAATGTTCAGTAATATCTTAATACAAATGTCTGGTATATGAAACTGGCCACATTAATTCACAGGAGTGGAACTCAGATTGGCACAGGCATTACTTAGAAGATGTCATTGATGTTGCCATGGATAAGGTCCATAGCCAAGTCTTGAACAATGCATTTTTGCATTTGGATTTCATTTCTAAATGGATTCTTGTGATACAGGATTTTACTGACACTGCTGGCCCTTCAGTGAGTCTTAATTAGACGAAACACATTCAGTTATTTGGGAAATCAGTGCAGTCAGTATTTGATCTCCTGCTGATTTTGAACGTTTGCCCACTGACAAAGAAATGATCAGTCTATACGGGGAGTGCAGAATTATTAGGCAAGTTGTATTTTTGAGGATTAATTTTATTATTGAACAACAACCATGTTCTCAATGAACCCAAAAAACTCATTAATATCAAAGCTGAATATTTTTGGAAGTAGTTTTTAGTTTGTTTTTAGTTATAGCTATGTTAGGGGGATATCTGTGTGTGCAGGTGACTATTACTGTGCATAATTATTAGGCAACTTAACAAAAAACAAATATATACCCATTTCAATTATTTATTATTACCAGTGAAACCAATATAACATCTCAACATTCACAAATATACATTTCTGACATTCAAAAACAAAACAAAAACAAATCAGTGACCAATATAGCCACCTTTCTTTGCAAGGACACTCAAAAGCCTGCCATCCATGGATTCTGTCAGTGTTTTGATCTGTTCACCATCAACATTGCGTGCAGCAGCAACCACAGCCTCCCAGACACTGTTCAGAGAGGTGTACTGTTTTCCCTCCTTGTAAATCTCACATTTGATGATGGACCACAGGTTCTCAATGGGGTTCAGATCAGGTGAACAAGGAGGCCATGTCATTAGATTTTCTTCTTTTATACCCTTTCTTGCCAGCCACGCTGTGGAGTACTTGGACGCGTGTGATGGAGCATTGTCCTGCATGAAAATCATGTTTTTCTTGAAGGATGCAGACTTCTTCCTGTACCACTGCTTGAAGAAGGTGTCTTCCAGGAACTGGCAGTAGGACTGGGAGTTGAGCTTGACTCCATCCTCAACCCGAAAAGGCCCCACAAGCTCATCTTTGATGATACCAGCCCAAACCAGTACTCCACCTCCACCTTGCTGGCGCCTGAGTCGGACTGGAGCTCTCTGCCCTTTACCAATCCAGCCACGGGCCCATCCATCTGGCCCATCAAGACTCACTCTCATTTCATCAGTCCATAAAACCTTAGAAAATCAGTCTTGAGATATTTCTTGGCCCAGTCTTGACGTTTCAGCTTGTGTGTCTTGTTCAGTGGTGGTCGTCTTTCAGCCTTTCTTACCTTGGCCATGTCTCTGAGTATTGCACACCTTGTGCTTTTGGGCACTCCAGTGATGTTGCAGCTCTGAAATATGGCCAAACTGGTGGCAAGTGGCATCGTGGCAGCTGCACGCTTGACTTTTCTCAGTTCATGGGCAGTTATTTTGCGCCTTGGTTTTTCCACACGCTTCTTGCGACCCTGTTGACTATTTTGAATGAAACGCTTGATTGTTCGATGATCACGCTTCAGAAGCTTTGCAATTTTAAGAGTGCTGCATCCCTCTGCAAGATATCTCACTATTTTTGACTTTTCTGAGCCTGTCAAGTCCTTCTTTTGACCCATTTTGCCAAAGGAAAGGAAGTTGCCTAATAATTATGCACACCTGATATAGGGTGTTGATGTCATTAGACCACACCCCTTCTCATTACAGAGATGCACATCACCTAATATGCTTAATTGGTAGTAGGCTTTCGAGCCTATACAGCTTGGAGTAAGACAACATGCATAAAGAGGATGATGTGGTCAAAATACTCATTTGCCTAATAATTCTGCACTCCCTGTAATTGTAATAGTAGGTGTATTTTAACAGTGAGCGACAGAATAATAAAAAAACAGAAAAACGCATGTCAAAAAAGTTATTAATTGACATGCAATACAAAATCCAGAAAGGGAGTACTTAATGATTGCACTCACTAGATAGTAAGAAGTATCAGGCACTTCATAGATACAAGATCCAGTGAAGAATTCCTCGATATAGCGTGGAGTATAAATGGGGAGAAAGGACACAGAATATGGTGCAGTATAGAAAACTTACAATCAGTACAATTCATGCAAGCCCATCAATAAGAACAGGAACACTTCATTACTGGATAAAAAGTGCTGGAGTGCAAGACTCCTACTGAAGAAAGTGCAATTGCAGACAGTCCTTAGGTAAGTATGATAAACTCTCAAGTAAAATCGGTAAATAATAAACAGCTTAACAGGCCTACACGTTTCGTCTGGGTCACCAGACTTCCTCAGGGGCACAGTATTGCCTAATGACATTATCCACGAATGGCTAAGTTGGGTATTTCGAACGGTATTTCGAATCTTAAAAATAGACTGGCGGCACTGATAGACTGGCGGTTCCTGATTCTCTGGAACTGTTTTGGGCATGAAACCATGCGTGCAGTTGGTCAAAATAAGATTTCCATAGAATTTTTGAACCCCTGAACTGATCTGGGTGATTTTTGGATATGTTGGTCACCCAGATCAGGGCCATCTAACTTTTATGGGGATTTTATGTGTTTTGGGGGTACTTTTGTTTGAAGTATTTCTTTATTGATACAGAAAATGTATACGAAGCAATTTCCTGCTCAGAGACATGATGAACTTGAAATCAACATAAGCCAATAACGGTGTGCATTTAAAACTTATCAGGCCTTTAACTAGGAACCGCATTCAGCACTGTCAGTGTAACGATAAATATATATATATATATATTTTTTTTGTATATATTTAATCAACCTGTGTTGTGTTGTGTGACTTATTGCTTATTTATTACGACTTGTAGGGTGTATCACTTTCTCCTACGCAGACGAGTAAACATTAGTATTGCGCTACTGTGTTTGACGTTGCTCGTTGTTGGTTTCCACTGTGGTCAGGGGTCAAGCCGAATTGTCTTCATCATTATTCTCTGGCTTTCTACTGTCATTTGTCCGTGTGTTGTCGTGTTTCCCCATGGTTAGGCGAGATAGTGCGGTTGTGGTCTTTGGGACCTAACCATGTTACTTAGTCTCCTAATGTGGATGTTTTTTTTTGTCTTGTTTTGTTGTGTGCCGCGATAGGTTGCTCTTGGGTGTCGTGTAAGTGCCCCTGCGTATGGGTTCGTGGACTTAGGTTCCGACATTGGGGGGTACTTTTGGGGTTTTGCAAAATATGTGTTTTTTCTGCCTGGAGATAATTGGGTTAATACAACATCTGACTCAATTATCTCATAGGCAGAGGGGAGGGATTGCATGCCATGTGTGGGAGTGCCTTCCATTGTAAACGTGTTATCGTTGGTTTGTAAGTTTGTGTCCCTGTCCCCAACAAGGTCCATGTGGGCGTACACCTTGCTTGGGGACTTGCATAAAAGGCCAGTGTGGCACCATTAAAACTGAGTCCTGCTTTACCCTGAACATAGAGCCACACCTCGTGTTTGTAGGCACCTGCTATACAAGCTATAACCACAAGCTCTTGTAAGAGCTTCACAGCTATACCTGCTATACTCTCTTGGAGGAGAGGCCTTCCCACTGGGAGCTGGATCCAGGAGTTTGGTCCAGGGTGGTAAGGGACAGCGAGATCCCCAGCCAAGCTACGGCAGCTAGGGGGCTACAGTGCTGATGGTGTCTGGTGGAGTGCTTGGAGTCCTCGGTGAGTACTAGGAGCATCGATTGATGGAGGCACTCAGTCGGGGTGGCAGGCGGTCTGTCACAGTAGGTAAAAAGGGCCCTGGCAAAACGAGTTTACAATCTAAATGGGTGATGTAAAATGCACAAAGGGAATTAGGTGATCTGTATGTAATTGAGGGATGGAGGGTAGTGTTTGGAAGCAGCAGATTAGATGGGTGGTGGTATGGGAAGGTTATATGGAAGAGGATTTAGGAGATAGTTTTTAGGCTTCTCTAAAGTAGTGTGTTAGGATTTTTAAAGGCTGCAGAGACTGGGAGAGGTGAATGTGCCACCGGAGGGCAAGAGTCTAGGGTGGGGATCGAGAACTGGACAGTAACAGGTTGTTAGAGGAGTACTGAAGTGTGCTAAAATAAGAGCTACAGTAAACATAATAGCAATAATTCCAAAGTAATGCAATAAGGTGTTCCCTTTATTTATTTTTTTCACTACAGGGGGCTGAAAGAAGTCACTGATCTATCAAGGTTTCGAATGTTAAGATATTTGTGGCTTAATCATAACAAGGTAATAAAAGCTGATTTTACGTTTTATATCATATTACATCCTTAATTTTGTGTAGCCAACTGAAGATTTAGTTTGCATTGGAGCATGAAATGCTCTTTGTTTGATTATTATATATTTCCTAGTATTTCATTTGACCGTCAAGGGACTTTTGTTTGTGGGGGGGCCGCAAAGCTATTTTGTAGAGTGGCCATTCTGTAATGTTTTCTGCACAGCCTACAGATTTGTGTAACTAAAAAGTAATTCATTTTATTTACTCTATTTTCCAAAACATTTACAGGGTTATTCATCCCTTATTCAATACCACTGAATTTTGAATTAATGGACAAAACTTACAGGACTTCAGAGAGATTTGCATCTTTTTATATTTACAAGAGGAAAATCCAATTGAAATTCAGTCCAAAAATATCGTAAGACAAAGTAGGGTCTACTTTGTCTGATGGTAAAATCCTATCTCGACAAAATTTGACAAAAGTGGAGCTACCACCATCTTTTTATTACCTCCCCCAGCAATTGCAAGTGACAACTGTGGGAATATAGCATTATCTCATTCATCTCAAGTTAATATCCATGGAGGTTCCTTGGCCTCACTGGATCCTCCATAGTGTTGTACTGTTATGCATGAGCAATAGTTCTGTACTGACGTGGGTTAATATCTCAACAAATGGGATGGCAATCCAGTGAAAAATTAACTGTAAATTAGCCAAAAATATTTTAAACACCTTTATCTTTAGATTATAAAGGCACAGCTCCTGGGAATACCTTTTGTATTAGTCTGTCTATATTGTACTGTCTTTTTCCACCTGTACAGCACTGTGAAATATGTTGGCATTTTATAAATCCCAGTGATAATAATTTGTTTCATTTCAGATTTCGAAGATAACATGTCTAACCAATGTTTGCCGCCTGTCAGAGCTGTATCTTAACAACAATGAGCTGTGTGACATAGCAGGTGCGGTGTGATTATAATTCACAGTGTTATTTTTATTCAATTTTTTTTTACTGTATGGAAATAAAAATGTATAAAAAATGTTAGCATAAACCAGGATTGAGTCAAGGGTTACTGGCTCCCGGGGGCGATACTTTTCACCGAGCTGTATATAAATGTAGCTACATTTTTGTTCCTTTTCAGTATCTTGGTCTCCTCCCTGAATACGTCTGTTGTTTTAATATGCCCCACTTCATTCACAATAAAAGTATCATAGGAAACACAGTCCTCACAAATCCTAGTGAATGTGATCGCTAGTAATGCTAGTTAAACGTAAACACTGAGGATATTTGTGGAACACCACATAATCCTTTCTCAACATTCCAAGCCAGTCTAAAGGTACTTATATTGTTACAAATCTGTGTGTGTGACTGCAGATCTAATGTGTGTATATGTTCCTGTGTATAATTTGTTATGAGGTCCTTTCTATAATGTGTGTATACTGCATTCAGTAGGTTTTTTTAGTGTTGCAGCCTTATGCTACAGTTGTTTAAATTATCATTCTTTCCATATCAATCTGATCTCAATACCTGAGAATGACAGAGAAAAAAACATTTTTTTTTGTTTGTTTTTTTTATCAAAAACTTCGTAAATGTATTAAAGCAGCACTGTCACCCCCCTCCCCAGGACTCTTCCTAAAGCTGGCCAAATTGGGGAAAAACACAAATATATCTACGAACAAGAACATAAAACCAAACATAGGGTAATATTGCTTGGACACCTTTATATTTTTTTTAAAATGATTGCACTCACAAAAGTGAATTTGATAGCAAATATATCACCCAATAATGGGTATGAGGTTTCTTCTGTCACATTCAGTTCATATACAAAATATAGGAGTTAAGAGAAAAACAGACACATAGTGCAAACTTTCCCAATAAAATCAGCAATTTAATACAATTGAATACAATCCAATTACAAAATGTAAAATAGTATGTGCAAATCACCATTTACACTTAGAATAAGAATCTCCAGGCTCCAATTCTTCGGCTTTTAAGAAGACAAGGAGGAGTCTTTTGTGTATGTACATTATTGTGTGTTGATGGTACATATTTATCGATATCCTTCCACACAAATGTGTTAATTGGTTTTTCAACTGGTGTTTGTGGTGGTTATATATAGTGTTTAAAAAAAAAAAAGTCTGAATACTTTCTGAAAACAATGTACGTAGTGACATTACATAAACAGAGGCATGAACACACTGACATTGCACACAGAGACACACAGATACACAAGACCACCAACATACATATTGACATTGCACTCATACAAGAATACCAACATGCACACTTACTGACATTGCATACATACATACATACATACACACAAGAATACAAACATTCACCAAATGGTCATACATAGCTTATTAATTAGGTGACTATTAATATTATTTGATAATCAATAATGATAAGTGGGTGCACCCTTGGTGGGAGACATCACTCCAAAGTTCCTCATAAGGCACCTGAAAGCTTAAGGATGCTCTAATTGCATTGCTATGTGTTTCTCAGGTTCTTTAAAGAATTTACCCTCTCTACGCATACTGATGTTAAATGACAATTATCTTACAAAGCTGCAAGACACTGTGAAGGAGCTAAAGGGCATGACCAGTCTTCATACCTTAAGTACGTTTCCTTAAAAACTGCTCTTGTTGAACTACAATTCACAAGGATTTGCAATCAGCAATACATTTTTTACAAAATAGGGCATGGGGTGAGTGAATGGTTGTGATGATCTAAGGATATAAGCTACAACTGTCTGCCCCCATCTACATGGTATGGGAGAAGAGTAGAGTGAAACTAACTGGGACACTCTCGTAGTTTAGCAGAACCACCACTCTAAAAAAACAAAACAAAAAACAATAAAAGCATACATGGAAGACAAATATTGGTTCTTTGATAGTTCCAGTTTCTGGTTTATGATGAGAAGAAAAAGCATCCAGCCTAAACTTGTACAGTAATGAACAGGAAGGCAGTGAGAACAAAGATGCCTTTATTATTATTATTATTATTATGATATTTATAGAGCGCCGTCAAATTCCGCAGCGCTTTACAATGGGTTGACGAACAGACATGTAGTTGTAACCAGACAGGTTGGACACACAGGAACAGAGGGGTTGAGGGTTGAGCTTACATGCTAGAGGGAGTGGAGCCTTAATATCTTTATCAGGAGGTTAGATTTAAAGTTTTACTAGACACTACGATTCCACATTAGATCTATAACCAGCACTGTGTGAGCCTGTCCTGATTATGAGCAGTCATACCCCTACTTTATTAGATTTAAATCCTAAAAGCACTAAGCCTTTCCTGATAATGTGCAGCCAGACACCCAACGTGAACATTCAGATTTTATTAAGCAGTTGTCTTGTAAATAAAATAAATGAAATATTATAGAGCTTATATCTCAATATCAGAACTTTTTAAAAGACATTTTAAATTTGTGAAATATAGTATTAAATGGCCACTACAAATATAATGAATACATTTTTTTGTAGAGAATGATTCTTACGTTTCATTTAAATTGTTTTCATTGCAGATCTGTTCCGTAACCCCTTGGCTCAAGATGCAGGTCACCGTTTATATGTCATATACCATCTTTCTTCAGTACAGCTTCTTGATCGTGAAAGTGAGTGAATACTTATACCTATGACAATTCTAGGTTATTTTTAAATAACATTTACCACATATTAGTCTGCCACACGTTTTCTGTACTGAAACAGATTTGTTGTAATTAAGTGACACAACCCAGTTGTAAATATGAATGGTTTTGTGTGATTAGAAAGATGGTTTGGTGGGATTTTTTGGTTTTGTGACACGTGTCTCAGTCGTTCCATGTAATAATGTAAAGGCACATTGCATTGTCTGGTTGTGTTTACCAATACTAAAGACAGGGTTCAAAATTTCCACTCTCCCACTAACCATTCATGAGTAGAAATTCACCCATGGTAAGTTTGAGATGGACTTGCCTTTTAGGCCTGTCTAGTATTACATTTTGACCCCTGGACTCATTGCTGTATTAAATGTATTATTTACGGATTTATTATACCAAAGAAAAATGCTGAAGATAAAAAACAAAAACGATTTTCTTCCTTGTTCAGTATGTTTTATTCACATAACTGATGTTCATTTTATGAAGCAGCCAGGAAAGTTCTCTGTTGTATATTTTTGTATAGGCACATCTTCCATCTTTAGACGGTATAAAATAGTAACTGGTGTCTGGCTCCAAGTAGGCATGCCAGTGACGCCACTTGTGTTACTGGCGTTGCCCAATACGGGCAGTCCCCTCTGATAAGTGGGCAGGGCTGCCTAAAAAAAGGAGCATGTCTTCCTGACGTGAAATTATGCTAGACTGACAGCCTCTCTGGCAGGATCCACTAAGGCAGACCAAGTACACATCTCTGCTGAAGCTCTGTGTGCATTGTCCTAGTGCCCTGTCAACCTTAAGGATAGTACAAGCCTCTCTAACAATGCGGTCTTGTTATGCTTGTTAGGGACAGTTCCATGGTTTCAAGTTCAAAGACCATTTTAGCTAGAAAGGTTGCCGGTACTGATGGTTTGTGGTAAATAAAGTCACTTTAGTTGGCATGCAGTCTGCTGTGAGTCTTCCTTCTTCTGGAAGGAAGCTTGTTGAAGCTTGTGTTAGAGCTTGTCAATGTTCAGGCCCATGTTTTTGCAGTAGAGATTCCCTCATGGTCAAAATATGCGGGCCTTCCTCCAGTAATATTGTATTCATTTTAAAATAAATACAGATAGTCATCTTCTACACACTATCTATAGAGTTAGAAAGATTGGGACAGAGTGAAAGCAGCAATATTTTGTATTTATGAAAGACGGTTTTAAATTTAAAGAGCCATTTTACAAATAGGAAATGTATAGCAGTTGTAGCTATTATAGTTGTCTGATTTTACTTCCTTTAGATGTCACACACAAGGAAAGAGAAGATGCTTTCAAGCTCTTCAACCCAGAGCAGACTGCAGTTATACAATCAATAGGTTTTGGCCGGAGAACAGACTCTGTCTTACCCGTCAGAAGACCACTTGTGAAAAGCTCCTCAGCAAGCTGTGCAAGAATGAGCCTAGGTGTGTGAAGACCTGTCATGTTCTCTACATTGAAGAGTGTTTCACATAAAAATCATATGTAAAAATGTCACATCCTAGAAGTGCTAAATCGGATATTCTGCAGAAATCTAAGTGGAAAAAAAAAATATTGTTAAGTTTAATTACTTGTTACCAAAAAATTCATATGCTATAAAATGTGTTAAGTATGAAGTCAGAAGAAAACATTGTTATTTTTAGCATTGTGCTGACCACTTCCAGTATATGTTTAGGCATAGTATGTGCAGAGTTTGTTCAGCTCTTGGATATTCCTCCATTCCGTGTGATTGGTGGTGGAGGTATGGTCCTGGCAAACAGCATCTAACCCTTATAACACCCAGTGACTGAGTTGGAGGGTAATACCATTATGGGGCTAGAGATCCCCAATAATAACAGGGCCATGGAATGCTACATCACATAGCCTAGTCACCATCCTTACAGCTTTATTACTAAATATAACCAACCCACTCTAGAGTTTGTGGACTACATATCCCCTGATGCTTTGCCAGCATTACAGCTGTAAGAGCATTCTGGTAGATGAAGTCCACAACATGTGGAGTGCAGAAGTTTGCCTACCTCTACCATAGACATTTGTAGTATATTAAACCAAACAGGTTTGAAATGATAAAACTGGATGATGTAAAATTCTCATTTCAGGAAATAAGAATGCAGATGATCAGAATAGGTAAGTAATATTATCTATCCATTTCTTTATTCTGCAATGTTGTAAGGCATTTGATGATCATCAGCATACATATAGACAACACAGAGTCGTATCAGCTGTGTGATAAAATCTAAGAGTAAGGCTAGCACGTGAACATAGGATAAACGACAATTTTATTAGGTGTGTGAATGCACATGTAAACGTTTACACACATTTCCAGATGTTACACGTTGGTGGGGTGGCGGTATTGGTTGAATCTGTGGCTGCACAAATCTTAAATCTAACCTCCTGAGCCCATTAACTTGTGTCCTTTGTACTGGACATTTCGTTCACATGCATCTCCTTTTATTCTTTTGAGTGATGCTATCAGTCCCTGCTGTATTGTGATATTTCATGTGATAGGCTGGGATGCTGGGAACTTCCTCTTCATTAAAAATGGATGGCATGTTGGAAGACATTTTTTTCCCTCAGTTCCCAGGAGGATAGCACTGGATGTAGTGAGTACAGATCAGAGATTTTTATGTAGCTATCTTGGGAATAACATTAACAGTAACAATACATTGTTATTTGGGAAAAACGCACCTCCTTCCCAAACACATTTTGCATTGGCATTTGACTGTGAACAACTTTACCTGCGAACCACTGCAATGCTGGTTTTTCTTCCTTTATATCAATGGATTGCACATTTATTTAGTTTTGTGGGTGTAATTTCAGACCATAGACTTCATGTAATGAAGACATTTGCTGTAATGTGTGTGCGCATGCCCCAAATATTTCACACAAAATAGGGCTGACAACTTTTAGCACTCCAGATGTTGTGGACTAGTAGTAGTCCACAACACCTGGAGTCAGGGCCACCAGCAGGGGGTGACAACCATACTGGTTGTCACGGGCCCAGTGGCCCTGGGGGGCCCGGCACCCACGTGTGGGGCCCATTGGGTGGCCCACACACTTAGGGCCACCCGATGGGCCCTATATCTTCAGGGGCCCGGTCTGCGCTGTGGCCGTGGTATAGCGCGACCGGGACCTTTAAAAAAAAAAAAGAGGGAGAAGAGGGAGAGCCAGGCAGCGAGGAGGGAGTCATGCCGACTCCCATCATCCCCAGCCACCCTCCTGCAAAGAAAAGGTAAGAGACAGGAGGGTGGCTGCAAAATGAGCTGTGTCTGTCTGTATGTATGTATGTATGTCTGTCTGTATGTCTATGTCTGTATGTATGTCTATGTCTGTCTATGTCTGTATGTATGTATGTCTGTCTGTATGTCTATGTCTTGTCTGCATGCATGCATGTCTATGTATGTATGTCTCTGTCTGTCTGCATGTATGGATGTCTATGTATGTCTGTCTGTCTGTCAATATGCATGTATGTATATGTCTGACTGTATGTCTGTGTATGTATGTCTGTATGCATGCATGCATGTATGTCTATGTATGTATGTCTGTATGTCAGTATGAATGTATGTCTGCATATCATTATGAACGTATGTCTGTATGCCATTATGAATGTATGTGTGTATGGATGTCAGTGTCTGTATGTATGAATGAATGTGTATGTATGTGTCTTTATGTCCTCATGCATGTGTGTCTGTATGTATGTATGTTAGTATGTGTCTGTCTGTCACTATGTATGCCTGTGTGTATGTCTCAGTATGCGTGAGTCAGTATGTATGCCTGTATGCGTGAATGTCTGTTTCAGTATGTGTGTCTGTTAGTATGTATCTGTGTCCTTTTGTATCAGTGTGTGTGTGTTTGTGTCTATGTGTGTGTATTCTTGTGGGCGGTATTTGGAGGTGGGCCCAGACCCCGAGCTAAGTTTGGGGCCCCAAAATTTCTGGTGGCGGCCCTTCCTGGAGTGGCATATGTTGCCGACCCTTACCCACCATGAATTGTTGGGAATTCTTCACGAAATTGCAGCTTTAAGTCCAAAAAAACTGACACAAAGCACCATGCCCACTTCAGTGATTTGAAGTGATTTGAAGTGATTATGGTGGTAGGAGCATGTATGTGCAGTGTTTCGGTTTAAAACTCTGCACATACGGACACATTGTAATTGTGTGCTGGGGGCTAGTTGCATACCCAGCACATATGAAACTGACAGCCTAGACCAAGGGCTGCCTGATTTCAATTTTATGCATAATTTGCATCTGTCACCACGGAAGTGGACCAATCACAGGTTTCTCAATGAGAAGCCTGTGATTAAACAGCGCAAGGCCCCAGTGACGTCAGAGGAAACGCTGAAGTCAGCGCTGGACTCCAGTTAATTAAAAACCTACTTTTTTTTCCAAGTTATAGTATAAACAGAGGGGAGGAACATTCTGCATATTGCCCAATATGGCCTTTTACGATGGAAAGGTTCCCACTACAAAAGGGTTAGAGTATCCCTTTGACACATTTATTTTTTCCTTTTAGATATAAAAATAGAGCTCAAGATGTTTTACAGACAGCACGCCAGAGATCTGTTATGCAGTATTCACTACTAGACTGGAGTACCCTTCCATCGTCGAGTCAGAAATACAGGGAAGGACAAACATTTCAGCCTGCCCAATTTAGGACTGTAGAGCTACGTTAATTGTTTAAAATGTACTAATAAAACAATAGTGAAACCAGCAGTATTTTGTGTATTTCACTCAGTGTGTGTTTGCTTTCTGGCTTTGTTTGATACACCACTTCTACTACAATTTTGTAGCCGGCTTCCTGTGCACAATAGCACTTACAAAGTCCTTAGTTAATCTACTAACTGCGAGGGATGGTCAAACCAGGATCTTGAATTTGTTTGTACCAAAGCTTTCCTCCAAAGGATTTGGATACTTCTGCTAGCAGGCAGTTTTACTTGACATATTTATTTTGACAACCCCACATGAAAGGATGAAGGCTTAATGCTTCTCTAAAAAGCGTGTGTGTATTGATACATGTCAAACGGTGTTCCTTTAGATATTTTTAAACCCCAACTCTTGTTCTCAGCCAATCCAGTGGTTCCTGAGCTTTAGGAGGATTGTAAGTCACACACATTTCAAAAACCATGTTATTAAAAAGACTATATATTTTCCCTTCTGTTACTATATATACACACACTACAAGGCCAAAAGCATTGAAACGACTTCTAATGATTTAATCTGGCTCTTTCAATCATACTCATCTAAGACAAGTACATAAATATGAGCACACATCAAAGCAAAACAGGCAGTAGCACTTAATACTATGATTATAACATTTAACTTCTCCAATAATTCCGTTTGCCAAAAGTCTTCTATCTCACAAGTGCCCAGGACAACTGTATGTGCTATTACTATAAAAAGTAAACAACAGCTAAATTTAAATGAAATCCCACACAAGTGTATAGAACTAGAGAGCCAGCTGCTGGCATTTGTGGTCCATGTTGCAAGACTCACTGCAGCTTTCCAAACAATCTCATCACAACAACTTTTTATTGGGAACTCTGGAAAATGTGTCTTCATAGCCAAGCAACTGGATACAAACCTTCATGTCAATGCTAAGTGGACATCTCTCTACTGTTTGGGTAAGGTACTGCCTGCCGATACCATCTTCTGCTGGGGAAGTGTGCTATCACAGCCTCCCAGTATTTTGCTCTGTTGCAAAGAAGGGGTCCCCCTTCACTGTGTTCCTTGATAAAGGCTTAGTCGGTCAGCCTTAACATTGATGTACCTTGCTCCTAAATAAAGTCTGCCTTTGGATACTACTTTGTGTGCCCAGGATGTTTCTACAAACCTGGATTTCTGGGGTCTCACCTTTCCTTCCTGTAGGCGTTTCAGTGTGGGTATCCACCTTGGTTTTGGCGTGTGCGTTCTCATTTGAAATCTCCTATACTGTCACTCATAAAAGTTGAAGTCAGAGTGTGGCTTATCACTCAACAAAATTTATTTCAACTTTGCTCACGGTTCAGACATGGCAAGCATGAAAAATTAGAAAGTACTGAAATTTACAGCTTTTAATTCGTCAAAAAAAAAAAAAAAAAAAACATTCACCCTGATTTATATTACTAGTCAAGTCATGTTGACCTTTCCCCAGTTTCATAAATAACAACAAAAATTAAATCCTTAACTTAAAATATAGAGCACCAAGGTATGAGAAATCAATTAAATAGGTTTTTGAATAAAACCACTGCAAAATTTAACGAATTAAAAAAATATTCTCAAAGAATAGTTTGTTATAGGATTGCACATAGCCCAAAAAGTCAGGAATTCTAACTTATCACTTTAAACAAAAAAATTATTAAAACTATGAGATCCTATTGTGATGGAGACATGATATTTGGAATGGACAATCTTAAATATAAAGATATATGTTGAGAGGACATGGCCTTGAAATTTAGCTTCCTCAAATATTGTTAGTTATTTGGCATATTAAATGTAAGCATAATCTATATTGAAGACAGTGTTTACATTACTAAAATCTCAATCCTAGCTATAGAAACATAATTTGTGCAATAAATCAATACCTACATGACAAATTTAAGATGTATTGTCAGCTTCTATTAAACATGATATTTTAGTAAAATTGTAATATCAACGTAAAAAAATAAAAAATAAATTAAAGAACAAAATTGGATCACTTGACATGAAATGACCCCCTTGATTCCTGCACATAAAGAGTTACGAGATATGAATGTTAAATGATGGGGCATAAAAGAAAATTAATTTAAAATGTTTTTGATATCATTTTATTGTATGCAGAAGCATTTTTGAGTGGAAAAAGCCTAAAACTAATAATATTTATAACTTTTATTAGCATTTCTGAAAAACTATTAACCTTGAATGAACACTATATAATTGAACAGAGTAAATTACACCATTGACTGTATTTGAAATTGAGGTTTTAAGAAATACATTCAGGTGACATTTATTCAGACACTAGATGGCGACAAAAAAAAGCCAAAGTGACAAATACAAAACATAACCTACTGAATTTAGCAAGCAACTGCATATGTACAATCTAACATGTTTTACATTCTAGCTTTAATAAAAATATATTTAAAGTCTGTAGGTCTGAAAATATTTAGTTTTATCACCAGTTTTCATAGGGCTGGTAAGTAGTCATATGTTTTATTAAATGAAGGAAGAACAAGTTCTAAATATCATATATAAAGAAAATAGATGAAGTCCAAACCATATTAACCGTCACCGATGAAATAAATCAATAAAGAAAACATGGATCAATATTTTCTTAAACTATAAACAACAATATTACCATTGAAATTGATCACTTATATGAAGCTACTGCTGGTCACGGAATGTCAGAATACTCAGGGGGCACATTATAATATATGGAAATCGAACAAAACAGACATCTATTTTGTATAAATATTTTCACATGTTCAATTTCTTATTGCATTGCTAAATGACACAGACAGTCAATCTATTTACCTTTTTTTTTTTTTTTTACATTTTTTTAAATATATTTTAGAAACCTGTGCCAGTGAAGACTATTACATAGATCTGCATCGATTTTTGGATTTTCTCACTATAAATCCAATACATAATATGAGTAGTTACATTGGAATCTATGGTTTAAACTGTATTCAATGTGGAAGCCACGGTGCATTAAGATGATGTGATTTATATTTTTGGATGAAAATCACTGTTATAATTACAGCTAGAGAAATTGTGAACAATAATGAAGTGAAAAACAAATTTGTTGTGGAAATGAAAAAGGAAATAAGCAAAACTTATTTGTGACCTGATCTATAACCCATTGATAAAATAAAATAAGGGAAGATATGGGAGAGGCAATATTTTTAGGCTGCTCTTCATTTAGCTGGCTACCATTCCGCGTGTATCACATGGGCTCCAATATCCCGCAAAACAAATTATAGACATTTTTACAATTCTATCCATTGTTATCATGGAAGAATTTTTAGAATACCCTCAACAGATTACAGAAAATTGTACCCCAGGTATAACATCTTGGGAAAAAAACATTTAGAGGAAAATCAAGTAGCAGATCTAAAAGATTCCAAACAGTACAATATTAATAGGTGACCAAATAAGAAAATACTAGTTGAACAATAATACCAGAAGGCATACAGGTTTGTCCCTACGGTCTTTCCTTTTTTCCCCCTGTATTCTTCTCAATTTGTGTACATTCACTACATCCCAATTTGTTGTGCATTGAGAACAGAATTGCAAAACCCAGGAAAAAAGAGCAGATTTGTGAAAAAACAATCTGCAGCTCAGCCACAGCTCGGCTATGAATTTACAATCCAGTTTCAGTCCACAGCAATTCAGAGTTTAGTGAATAACCCAAGCAGTGTCTACTATTTAAGAAGTATGTAGAGGGAGGAAATCCAAAAAAAAACACCTTGCTAAACCATATACATGCCAGAAGCCTTCAGAAAAATACTTGTGGTGGTTTAATGTAAAATAATAATGAAGATTGGGGTGGTCTGCAGAATGCGGCATAAGCTGATCAGGTTAGTTCCTCCTTATTCTTCAGATTCATTGGGTGTGTGAGACAGATTAGATTCAGCTGATGGGCCTTCTGTGGGAAGAGGTGTGGAAGAAAGCTCTTTGGTTTCTTTGTCTTCTTCAGTGCCAGGTGACTCACTGACGATAGCGTCTTTGGGTATTTTTGTGTTACCTTCCAGTGAGACATCCGTCGTTGATACACTTGACTCATCACCCTTGGCCTCCTCTGAAAACAGAGTGCAAAAAAAAAAAAGCAATTACTTTGTGCAAATTTAAATCACTACGTAAATAAAAAATACACAATTAAAAATAAGTGTGTGTGTGTATATATATATATATATATATATATATATATACACATACACACACACTGATAAATACATACATATTTTTATACACACACACACACACACACATATACATACAGATATACACAAACAAACACACAAACCTAGAAGCACTGCTATTTGGGGGTCAAGAAGGAATTTTTTCCTGGTTCGTTGCAAAAATTGGAAGACTGGGTTTTTTGCTTTCTTTTGGATCATCAGCAAAAACATATGTGAGGAAGGCTGAACTTGATGGACGTAAGTCTCTTTTCAGCTATGTAACACTCACAGGACTGATTTAGACAAAAAACAACAAAAAACTGCTGTATTTGTTGAAACTGCTCTGCACACAGCTTACAAATCCAATATGAAAGTTTCAGTCCATTACTTGGTATGTGCATTTTGGCCAGAGACTTGCACTGAGGCAAGTAAAAAGGAATGCAGTTGTTGAGTGCAGACACACACACACACACACTTTTTCTTTTTTTTAATTATAATTTATTGGGTTTTTTTTTTTATGTTCTGCATTTTTAATTCCTCATCATTCCTGAAAGTATTTAAAATATAATTCTGAAGAACCCCTGAATTACACATTAGTAAGCAGAGTGGATAGATTATTTTAAATTATCATTATTATATTCAATATTTTGGTGACACGTCTCTATTAAAACACCAACAGAGATTGTTATTCTTCAGCATTATATAAACATTCCAATGCATTTTGAGATCAACATCAAATGCATCTGTAGAAGAGCACATTGTTCTAAAATAATCCAATCACATGTTTACCATTATTAGAATGTAATATTCCAGTGACATTTACAAGAAAAATTAATTAAAGAGTTCCAATGACATTTTAAATGAGCAGCTTTTGTTTACAACCCTGGGGAAAGAGAATTGCTCGTCATAACTAGCTTGATTTCTATGCAAATATATATATATTTCTCAGATTTTCTGTCTATTGTTCTTAAAAAACAAACAAAAAAAAAACACAACACATCAGAAATCAGTATTTCACAGGGCATTGCAGACTGCTGTTGTACCCTGGAAAATGCTCTGATGTTTCCTAACCCCACATATTCAACTCCTGGCTGCTCTTAACAGTCTATAAATTAACTGTAACAATGCACTTTGAGTAATATATTTTGCGGTGTATTTATTAACTAAACTGTGAAATTGTAATTAATTGAAAATCCAATGGCTAAAAGGACCAAAGACTAGTCTCACTTGTCGGGGGCAGCCAAACTCATCCGTATAACAGGACAATCCAGTGACAAGGTAGGTTAGTCATTTTCAATAATGTATATTCAAACCAGCAGGTTATGTTTCAACACACACAGAGCCTTTCGCAAAACTGAGAAGCCTAAATGTCACCTTTTGGTTTCGAAATAAACCCTTGAAAAAGACTTGCCTGTTGTGTCTCATTACAAATATATATATGAACAATATTTCAAGGTAGTATTATTTGGTAGTACTTCACACAAATGCGAGCAATGATAATTATAACTTTCACATGTAAAAAAAAATAAAATTACTTCACAGATCTAAAAAACAAAAAACAGAGAGTTAAGTTATTTACCATCATCACATGAAAAGTGAATTTACATTGTGCTTAAATAAATGAACAAGGGCTCCACGTTGCCGTGTTGGTGCATTTATTACACACAAAGTTCTGATATTTGGTCTTAGAATATTTTTTTCAAGGTAGCTTTGAACTTGGTTTCATACTACGTAGTGGTGCAGTGTTATTATACAGATTAGCATTGTAGCGGAGCTCCAGTACTTAGCATAGGTATCTCCCCTGTTTAGTGCTTGTAGCTGAAATAAACAATAAAATATCCCAAGGCACTTTCCCCCAGTAACTGGACGACACAGAGTTCTGGGGGTCAACTGACTTTACTAGACATAGTACACATGATTTAAAGCCCCCAACAGCCTCATTTACATACAATGGTGCATAGAGTAGTATAATATAAGGAAGGGTGGGGTCAGACAATAGTAAGGGCTTATGGGAGATTGAGGAGGGACAAAGCAGCTGGTTTAAACTGGTCTGGCAGTATCTCTGGGACAGCGCCCTGCTGGTGAAACAATAGGACAGGAAAAAGGGGGAGGGTGAGAGGCACAGACAAGCAATTCAACATACCCTGCACCAATAATGGGCACAGGGTAACCAAAATACAAAAAGGAATCTGGGGGGACACACATATTTGGTTCTAAAAACAAACAAGGGGTGTACAGACAGCCGAAACAAAAGGGAATAAAAAAGTAGCTAGAGCATCCATTCCGCTACAAGCACCACCTTTATTTGTGGAGGACCACAAGCAGGAACATGATTTATGCTCCAGCCATAAATCATGTTCCTGCTCGCTATGGGGTATTTTAGCTAAGTGAAGACTTTGTAACATTGCTAAACTGCAACTATGACTCACATCACATTAAGAATTGATAAAAACAACAACAGGTAGATCATGTGAGCAAACCGCCGATAAAGGATTATCCACACAACAGCAAGTCCTAGTGAATTAAATCCCAATTTTTAAACTTTAGACAAAGATAAAAGGAGTTAACGCTTTGATATTTTAGAACTTTAGATCTTAGTTTTCAGTTTACTACAATTTTCTTTTTACTGAATGAACCCCTTAGTGTGTCTGTGACTTGCAATACTTCACAGTAATTTAGTGAAAATGACTGTGCCTATATACAGTAATATGCTTATACACAGGCTTCAGCATTTAAATGGGCAGTTTAGACACCATAACACAATTAAATGAAGTTGTTATGGTACCAGGAGGCCCAGGGTGCTTTCTTGGGTTAATGCGCTCTCAGCTAATCAGTGATGCCCCCTGCCCGGCAGCACTCAACGCTTGCTGAAAGTGAACTATCAGATGCTGGATGATTGACACTGGAGACAACCTTGGGGTTAAACCGCTTGAGAATGGTTTAACCCCTTGCAGTAAGAATGCAGTTGTTATGGTGCCTAGGGAATATAGAATAATTGTGTTTTTTCTGGAGTATTCCTTTAAATATAGAATAAATGTGTTTTGCTCTATCGGATATATTGGGAGTTTACAGTCACTAACTTGTCTTTTCAGCTTCACAACAAGCTTAAACAGGTGTCAAGTTGAGTGAGTTAGCGGCTGCATCCAATGTGATGGAAGTATTTACCATATGGCATTAAAACGCAGTGTTTCTCGTCTCCAATTTGCTATGGGAAATGTTTAAACTTAACAGTCGCTGCCAATTGGATTTGTTAGGGGCTTTTACATTAGTTCTATAACTTTGGAGAATTAACTGCTTCTTTGTCTCAGGACCTTTCTATTTCTGTTGACAGAGGAAAAGGACATGAGAAATCATTGGATCACAAAGCACTAAAGCTTCTAGGTTCCTAGTATTATAATAAAATACAATTAAGCAGGGGAAAAAAATCAAAACCCTTAAAGGAACACTACAGTCACCAAGACCACTTCATCTCAATAAAGTAGTAGGGGTGCAGTGTCCCTGTCCTCTTAACCCTGCATACTCACAGCCACTATAGGGGCTTTCGTAACACTGTCATGTGATCCGGAAGCCCCGAAGGTAAGCATTGACTCAATGCTTTCCTAATAATAAATGCGAGCTCCGCAACCACCACCACTCCTCTATGAGACCACACAGGTCCTCCTCCGTTACTATGTCTCGGGAGAAGAGATCAGCAGCGGGAGCCTTTGAACGGGATCAAGGCAAGTTTAAAAATAAACATAAATAAATAAAAAGGTTTTAAACCCTTTTAATCTCGAAAGGCGTGGGGGACATCCAATACTACTAGGAACAGGAAGACTATAACGATAGGAATACAGATTTATAATCCCAACGTTATAGAAATTTCTTTCATACAAACAGAAGCCTGTATGTATATATACAATCCCAATACACAGACCTTGGTTATTATATTTTTCTTGCCTCTTCTTCTCTTTGGCATCTTCTAGCTCGTGTTTCTCCCTTTTCTCTTTCAGTATTTTGCATATCTTTTTGTGTGTAAACCAGTGAAGTTTTTGGCAGTTTTGATCACAGTAGATCACCTGGAAGAAATAATGAAAATTAAATAAATAATAAATAAAAAGTAAAACCAGTCACAGCAGTAGATAAGAAATTAACCCCTTAGTGACCAAACCGCTTTTCAATTTTCCTCTTACTCATTTACTGTACCCACACATATTATATACAGTTTTTCTCACCATTAAATGGTCTTTCTAAAGATACCATAATTTTCATCATATCCTATAATTTACTATAAAAATTTTTTTTTATAAAATACGATGGGAAAAAAACTAAACAAAAAAAACAAACACTTTTTCTAGCTTTGACCCCAAAAATCTGTTACGCATCTACAACTGCCAAAAAAACACCCGTGCTACATAGTTTCTAAATTATGTCCTGAGTTTAGAAATACCCAATGTTAACATGTTCTTAGCTTTTTTTTGTGTGCAAGTTATAGGGCTATAAGTACAAGTAGGACATTGCTGTTTCACAACATAAATGCAGAAAGATAAGTCCTGCGCTCACTCCTATCACTGGGCGGCAGCAAAGACTACAGTACACATCAGCCCCAATATATAGTAAAAACCATGACAGATTTATGACAGATATATTAACCCTTAATAGGGAACACATGGGATGGGCGGCTGCATTGTAACAAGGCTGAGTGATTCAAAAAATGGATACAAATGCAGAAAGATTAGTCCTGTGATCACTCCCATCACTGGGCAGCAGCAAAAACTACAGTACACATCAGCCCCAATATATAGTAAAAACCAAAGAAAAACAAGTTACCGTATATACTCGAGAATAAGATGAGTTTTTCGGCACATTTTTTGTGCTGAAAACCCCCCACTCATCTTATACTCGAGTCACTGTCTGTATTATGACAACTTACATTGCCATAATACAGACCATGACCGCCGGGCTCATTACAAGCCCGGCAGTCCTGTTGGGGGTTGGCAGTGAGATGTAACTTACCTTTCCTGCAGCTCCCTTCTCCTGCGTTCCGGTCAGCTCCCCACTGTAAGTCTTGCGAGAGCCGCGGGGTCTCCGCGCAGCAGTCACACCGCGAGACTTACAGTGGGAGCTGAAAGGGGAGCTGACCGGAAAGGTAAGTTACAGCTCGCTGCCAGCCCCCCTCCTACACAGCCCATGCCTCCCTGGCAAGCTAACAAGCAGGGAGGGGGGACGAAAAAAATATAAATAAAAATGTAAATAATATATTAAAATAAAATAAAAATATTAACAATATTAAAAAAGTTAATATTAAAATAATAATAATAAACACACACTGCATTATATACACACACACACACTGCATTCATTATATCCAAAAAATAAATATTTAATTAATGTAATTTTTGGGGGATCTAATTTTATTTAGAAATTTACCAGTAGCTGCTGCATTTCCTATCCTACTCTTATACTCGAGTCAACAAGTTTTCCCAGTTTTTTGGAGTAAAATTAGGGGTCTCGACTTATATTCGGGTCGACTTATACTCGAGTATATACGATACCTTCACTCAGGCTTGTTACAATGCAGCCACCCATCCCATGTGTTCCCTATTAAGTGTTAATAATATATAGGGGTGTATATAAAAAATACCCCTTTCTGTCTCAGAGATCTTTGCCAGAAGCTCAAGGAAGCAAGGTGAATGGTTAGTTAGGACCCACCTGGGTCATCCTCTCATGACCATTGGAGGTAACAAAAAAACCTCCATTTGTTTAAAAATACATAGAGATTAAGGAGAGAGCGCAGGTAACTTGTTTTTCTTCTATTTCACAATTTACATTTTTTAAATGTATCAGTAGTGACATTGTAACACTTATCTGTCATCAATCTCTGAATCACACTTCACATGTACATTTTATTTTTTTTATTTTTTTTTAAAGTAGACAACCCAAAGTATTCAATATGGGGTATGTCCAGTCTTTTTTACCTTAGGTTGTCTTCTTTTGCAAATGGTATGCCATCATGGTGGTAATTCTCATTCCTGGGCTACCATACGCTCTCAAAGGCAACATAACCAATCTGGCAAATTTCACTGTGAAACAACGGAAAATCAAGCCTTATATTTGACACTGTAACTTTCAAAAACACTATAAAACCTCTACATGGGTGGGAGAGGGGGGTTTGTATACTCAGGAGACTTTGCTGAACACAAATATTAGTGTTTCAAAACAGTGAAATGTATCACAACAATATCCGTTAAAGTGCCGTTTGTGTGAAAATGCAAAAAAAGTCACTTTCACTGACAATTATATTGCTGTGATGTGTGTTACGGTTTTGAAAAACTCATATTTCAGCAAAGTCTCCAGAGTATAACAATTCCCTCCATGTACAGGTTTTATGGTGTTTTGGAAAGTTACAGGGCTTGCCCATTTCCGTTTGCCAGATTGGTTTGCTGGGTCTATGTTGCATTTTGAGACCATCTGGTAGCCCAGGAATGTGAATTAACCCCATCATGGCATCCCACTTGCAAATGTAGACAACCCAGGGTATTCAAAATGGCTTATGTCCAGTCTTTTGTAGTAGCCACTTAGTCATGAACACTGGCCAAAGTTAGCGTTTTTGTTTGTTTGTTTGTTTGTTTTTTTAAACAAAAACGGCACTTTTACTGGTGATATTGTCGTGATAAGTTTTACTTTGTAAAACACTCATATTTGTGTTCAGCGAAGTTTCCCGAGTATAACAACACCCCCCCCCCAGGTTTTATGGTGTTTTGGAACGTTACAGGGTTAGGCCATGCCAATTAAATTCTCTGGAATCTCTGCCTGGGTTGTCAGGCAGGTCCCTCCAATTATAATATCAAATAATTATGTAAAATTAATAGTTAAATATATATGTAGAATGTGTACACACACAGATAATACGTGTGTGTGTGTGTGTGTCTTTGTTGAGATCATTTGCATACGCCTACCCAGAATCCCTTGCATTAGTGAGAGCACTGTTAAAGTGAGATTTCTGTGGTAAGAGCACGTCTTATGGCTTGCCTGGTGTGTGTATTTGTGTTTAATTGCATTAACTATATGTATATAAGCATTATATATGTATAATATATTATAAAATGCTTTAATTATTTTATAATATATTATACATATATAGGAAAAAAAAGTGTGTGTGTGTGTGTATATATATATATATATATATATATATATATATATATATATACACACACATATACACACACATACATACACTTATTTCCTATATATGTATAATATATTATAAAATAATTAAAGCATTCATAATATATTATACATCTATAATGCATATATATCTGATTACATTAGAAGTGTATTTTGAGATTTGTGTGTATATATCTCAAAGTACACTTATAGTGATATATATATATATATATATATATATATATATGCATAATATATTATAAAATGCTTTAATTATTTTATAATATATTATACATATATAATATATTTATTTCATTATTTAATTTATTTTTCACTTTTAGCAGCCTTGGGGACTGCCTGACAGCTCAGACAGTCCCCTTGCTGGCAGCTCCATAGACTCCTGTTGCGGCCATGTGATCATGATGATCACATGGCCCTGGAGGGCCTAGGTGGCCGGAGCTGCTGCAGTGGGACTGCTGGGATCTCGAGCAGTCCGCCCCGACTGGGATCGCCGATCCAGGTAAGTAAAGGTGTCCTTTTTGCCTAGTACATCCGTGGTCGTTAACCATTTTTTTTCAGATGTACCTAGTACGTCCCCGGCCGTTAAGGGGTTAAACAGACCATGCAACAATTAAACATTAAGGTCTCTTTTTACAGGAAATATGTAGGGAGACTGTGTAAGTCACATGCACCACATGCAGGGAGGCATGACTTGGAATGCATTAACAAAGTGATTTCTGGATGGCAAAGCATTGAGCAGAGAGACTGTAGGAACATGATCTATACACCAAAACTGCTTCATTAAGCTAACATTGTTTTGGTGCATATAGTGTCCCTTTAACACCTCCCAATGTTAGCAGGTTTAGAAGGATGTATTTACGGTTTAGGGCAAAGTTTATGTGCCCAAAGCACTTTCACCAATAAATTTAGTTTTTTTGTCTCTATTCAGTTATAAATTACCGTATTTATAAGAGAATATGTATAAATTTGTCTGAATATTTGTAACATACATTTTTGTAATAAAAAAAAATACAAATAAATAATAGAGTAAGGGTTGTTTTCTGTGTGAATTTTTAAGGTACACTTTTCGGTTAAATTAAGACCAGCTTGGGGTTTGTAAATAAGCCTCTTAGAATAATTCTGGTTCGGGAACCAGTATGCGATTATACTGTAGAATTGTAGATGGATATAAAAGGTTTTCTGGCTTTATAAAATTATCAGAGGACTGAGCTACACTGAACAGAATGGTAAAATGCAAAACTACTTTTTTTTTTTAACTTATCAATTATCTTCTTAAACCATTTTGTTAAAATTACCTTAATGGAGTTCTAAAATTATAATTATAAAACGAATGTAATAACTGCAAAGCACAACACTAGGATGAAAAATACATTAACAGTCATTGTGTAGAGCTGCATAAAAATGATCTACCACTGAAAAGGTACTGATAAGAAAAAAGCTTGGGGTTGTTAAAGGTAATTAAGGAGAGATGTACTATGTTGATCCTGCATAAAACACTCCCTATATTTAGTATAAGAGAAAAAAAAAAAAAACCTCTGCTTGTTTGGAAGTCTATATACAAAATGTATAAAAATCAAAGCCTTTATCTTCAAAACAAAGCCAAATGTTATAAATCATACTTTTTACGATACTTTTTCATTGGTGCATACAAGTCAATGATGTATTGTAAAAACACATCAGTTACTTTGGCCTACAATTTCAGATTCATGTTGAGTTCCAGGCAAGTCAAATGTTGGTGAATAACCCTGCATGGCTTCTTATTAAACAACCAGATGTCCCAATTCAATGTACAATGTTCCGCATCAACAAGTAGTAAATACTTGGGAACAGTGAGGTAGATCTTTTGTAGTTGCAGAGGTCAGTTCTGCAGCTATGGAAGCCTTAAAAAATATTTGTGCAAATTTTAGTAAATTCATATTTTTGGGGCAACAATAAATTATATTTAATAACAAATTATGCAGTTTTGGACTAAGAGTCTCTATTTAAGCTGGAATTAAAGTATCCTGTTATTATTAAAACAATCTTTAAGAGTTCTCTTTTCCTCTCTTTAATATATACATATACACACACACAGTGGAATCATGTATATTGTATGTACACACTGTGTACTTGTCCTTAGACCTGCAAATCTTACCAGTAATCTGCACCAGAGGAGAATCACTGCACTAAGTCACTACACAAACACATCAGACATTGTTTTGTGGATATAAGGTACAAAGTGCCATAATAGAAGTGAATCATAACAGTTCTGAAACAGTGTCCAGACGTACATCTAATTCACAGCGTATACTCCCTGTCACTAAGATACAGCCAGACCTGCCATGTTATACAATGCTAGTGACAAGAACAGCAGTAATGCTTCCCATAGCCCAAGATGCACTGGACACTAGAACATCAAGTACTGAGTAAGGAGAGTAATAAACATACACAGCAATAGAACATCATTTTAGAATGTGACACTATATAAGGAACGAGCATATTGAACTTACCAATTTGCACACTGAGCACCTTTTGCTTGCCCCTTTTTCTCCACAGGTCGTACAAAATTCTGCATCTATAAAGCCCACTTGGCCAGTGATTGCTTGGGTCAGTACAGAGAAGGCCGTAGGGTCAGATCCCTGGAGGAATAAAAGGGTTAATGAGGGAAAGATCCAATCACCAATAAAATCTACGTTAAAATTATCCAAGTAAGAATAAACCTTTTATTAAAAAACAAAACAATACGGTCATGAATAGTTGATGTAGTAATATAACCACATTCTTGGTGAGCATTATATTTTTAAAGTCAGAAAAAAAATGCAAATGTTGTAACTAGGCAAAATGTTTGAGTTAAAAGAGGCAGTGAAGCATCAAATGTATAGAAAAAAAATCGAATTTTTAGAAGGTCAACATTGTTGCAGGACATGCGTTTTCTGTTTATTGGCTCACTAAGGTCTACGTTTTATTCTGGTCACTGGTAGCTTTTTACATGCAGCTGCATTTTGATTGGCTTAAACACCAGGCAGCCAACCAGAATACGGAATTCTGACAAGGATGAGTTAGTTTGCTTTCTCCTCTGTCTCTATATGTCTGCTATTACAATACAAATATACAATTCTAAGGAGACTATATCCTACCAATTATATAACATTATTTCTGCTAATAGCCATAGTACAAAGCCTTGGTCCTAATTTAGAAGGTAAACGTTTTCTTCTTACAATTTCGACAGGTGCAATGCTTCTCACAAGCTGTTGTAGAAGTGTTGCTTCACAATAGGGGAATTTCCTGATACTCTCTCGGATTAATTTTTCTTGGAACACTGGGAAGCAATCAGAATCTCTGCCCTTTAATAAACTGAAAGGTAAACACATGATGGAAGTTATTAACGTTATGGTTTACAAATATACTTTTAGTAGTATAATTTATTGTACATCTTGGATCTTTTTGATATTTTTCAGAAAAAATGAGAGATCCTGTTAAGTGTTGTCTGCAATCTAAAATTAACATTTGGAGAACCACACGGCAACAAATACCATTTGATCTTATTAGGTCTTAGCAAGCTGATCGTAATGAGCAAAATTATCTAGACAATCTAAAAACTTTTTCTTAATGTGCAATATTAAGCAGGCACAATGTACATGAAAAAATGTAAAGTATTGTAGCCTGAATTTTTAAAATAAGAGTGCATGAGGGACACTGGGGTACTAGGATAACAAGCTTCTGGAGGGTTATAAATATAAATTTGATTGAATAAAAAGGCAGCCTATCTAGGGGAGACCTGGCATGGTGTCAGGATCTGCTCTGCTCTGCTCTGCTCTCTGACTTGGCTTCTGGTATCCAGTACTTTTTTTTTTTTTACAATCCTTGCTTAGTTTTTCAGGTTTTCTATTCCATGTCTGGTTTTCTTTATGCTGGGTTTCTGGGTTCATTCTTATATTCCATCCCTGTGTTTCCCAGTCTCTTGGATTCATTTAAATGTTTGTTTTATGTTCCCACACCTGTTTGTTTTCCATCATTCCTTTTTGTTTCAGGGTCCTGCCCTTTCTTGCAGGTAAGTGCTATTGTGGTTTAGTGTGGTTCTTTTAGTGAACATTAGGAAGAGTAGGACCTGCTGAATATTGGGTACATTGGCGTTGTAGCAGGCTTATGCAATGTATAATCATATAATGTAACTAAATCCCCATACTTTTCATATATAGTGCCTAGTTATTTCTCCTCTTGTTTTGCCTATCATATTTTGTCTTGTTTTATTTTGTAATCCCAGTCCATGTACAGTCCTGTCATGCCCCTGTTTAGTTAATGTTCCCTTATGTATTATGTACATGTCCTGGGTTTAGCTTCCTATCCTTCTCTGGTTCTGGGTTCTTCTAGTTCTGTCTTGTTTCCATGTTTGGTGCCTATCTCTAGTCTTGCCTTGTTTCTGTACTGGATACATGTCTGTTGCAGAGCCTCCCTATTCAGCTCCTGGGAGGTCTGCTTACTTCCTAGCTTCTAGTTCCTGGCATCCGCTGTAGCTGCATCAGGGTTCTGGTATGTGGCTGCACAAATGCTGGTGCTCAACACCAAAGGGCGTGTGGTTGCCCTGCACCAGGCCCTGATAATCCACTTCCACGCTGAAGACTCCTAACTTCTCATCAGGCACTAAGGGGTTCCGGTGTCCGTACCGCTACCCTGACACATGGTCAGTATTCACTAAGGTCACAATGCCCAATTCACGATTATAATACAATGACTCAATATATTGACGATGTTCAGAGGTTAGGGCTAGCAATCTAAGTAATTGAGAAAAGGACTGAAGACAGGATTAAGAACTCAAAACGACGGAGTGCTGGCCAATACTCAAACACATAAAAAGAGAGGGGTGCGGAAGCTTCTGTTGTAACAGTTGGACATTAAACTGATACCTGATTCAACAGAAGTTCGTCTCCAACACTCATCCAGGACTCTGTGAAGCTTGTGAAATGGATGGAACAGGGTTATCCACATTCGAAGCTGGGGGAAAAAAGAGGCCCTGCAAATGGACCAGATGGCAAGGAGAGGCCCATGTTTTGTAAAAACATAATAGTGTCTCACTGAGTCTCACAGTAAATCTCACTGAGAAGGAAAGAAGGCAGAAACACCATAGACCAGCATACCTGCCACTGCTGTTAGCTCTGTAGAGCTAATGGAAGCAGAAGACGACTTACCTGACAATTTGACTGACAGCCAGGGAAGTGTTTCTGCCGCAGTTATAAAACTGCCAATTTCTAATGAAATTGAACTTTTATAAACTGTAAAAAAGATGAAGTGCTTTATGTGTCCAGAGTGCACCTTGCAGAAAGCTGAAAGCCCAGTGTACAGAGATTTTTAAAATTACACATTACATATTATGTTAAAGAATAGGAGCACCTTTTTATAAACGTGTCCAGTTTATCTTCTTTCTCCTGTATGTAGGTAATGCACTTCTGTAATATACAACTAATATAGTGCATTTTCATAGCCAAAACTTCATTCATATCTTGTTGCTTCATACATTTTTCACAGATTTGATCCAACACGTTACTGCATTTTTTAAGAGCATCTGTTTCCATCAAAAGTGGGTTCTCCTTTACCATAAAAACTATCTGAAAGATATAAGATAGCAAATTCCATTGTGGACAAACCATATTATAAACATGATATATTTTAAACAGCACTATGTAGCAGAGTTAATTAACAAGCACATAGAAAGAACTATTAAAGCCGCTCTGTCAGCATCAGGAGTCATTGAATAATTTGCAAAGACACCCAATGGTGACTGTTCAGTTCGGTGTCTGGTGGCCGTAGGGGAAGTGGAGTTATACTTAGCCGAACTGGTTACTTGCGGCCTCCATTTCTTGCCAGTCTTTTTCAGCTCCTGGCACTTCATCTGCCAGGAGCCCATGTCAGTGATGTTCTCTCGTGCATGTACTTTGAGATCTATGGAGGTTCGATCTTCCATAGACAGCGCCTTTTGCCTATAGCGGTCACTGGTGATGGCTGGAACAAAATGACAAAACTTGACAAAGGTAGATTCACCTTTTGGCAAGTTTTGTCAAGTGTATGAAAAGCACTATTTGCACTTGTCTGTGCTGGAATTTCAATGACATTGAAAAGTATGAAGATATTTCATAAAGATATGATCTTTGTGAAATACTCATGGGGTGACAGAGCTACTTTACTTAAGTATCTATTCCACAAATTTTAACATGTTGCAGTTCGTCATTCCATCTAAAACTAAAAGTTTTCTACATGATCTGCATAATATGGAATGATCACCAATAAAAGCAAAGCATTATGGGACTTGGAAGACATCTTACCTTGACAGGATGAAGGTTTGTAGTTGTAATAATTTTGTACAAAGGACCAGACAGTTTTACAGGTAATTTTGGTTCCGTGTTTAGCCCTTGTGGCTTGGTGTAATAGTCCAACTTTTCTCGAGGGTAAAAATTGTTGATTACTGTGACGCAATCATGCTGGCCTGAAACATATAAATGCATTGACTCCATAAAATTGATCAGTTATGTTCAACAGAGTAAAGAGGGATTAGCACAGAGACTCCATTTTAGAATTCTGAAAAGTGAACTTTGTATCCTTCTTTACATGTAATGTATCTGTACACAATACATAATGAGAGCAGATACTAGACTCAATGTTACTGTAGAGGAGTGCAGTACATTACAAAACATGTACAACATTTATGGATACATTAGTGTGCCAATTTCTTTCTTCTAATAGTTCATAATCTGAGAGGGAAAAGACAGTTGTGGAGGATGGACCATAATATAACGACATTCTAAAGATAAGAGGCAGCATGAAGAAAAAACATGTTTAGCCTCATTAAGGTATAAACAAAATAATGAGACTACAATTTTCTTAGGCAGGGTAAGGTCGCTAGATACAGGCCATCCATGGTTACACTAATTGGGGTACAGGGAGAAATTTAAGAAGAAAGGTAAGTAAAGTTAAATTACAGACATTTTTGGGGTTATTGACTAAATTTTTTAAGTAATAGAAAACGTATGGGAAAATTGATAGCCAAACTGAAAAAAAACCCCACTAATAATAAAACACCACAAAGTTCCGGATGCTTTTCCAAGTCTGTTATTTAGTAATAACATTTTCTATTCCTTGTCAGCTGTTTTCTGGTTTAATTGATAATACCCTAGTCATGTTTAAATCGAATGATCCCTATAGAAAGTTGGGGTAGGCAAGCTTTATGATCCTTTCTGCTGCATCTCATATGTCTATCAGGATGTGAAATGGCAGGGTGGAAAGTTGTAGAAATTGAAGCAGATACCAAAATATTTGTAAGAACGGTCTTAATGGATGGAGTAAAAAAATTATAATATATTAATATATATATATATATATATATATATATATATATATATATATCTCTCTATCAGATAAGAACCCATAAAATAGCCCCAGAAAACTGCTACTGAGAAGGCTGGATGGATTTTGATGTGCCAATCTACTTCCCTAATACTACCCTTACCTTTTGTGTCACTTTACCCCACTCCCTCTAGCATGTAAGCTCATTGAGCAGGGCCCTCAACATCTCTGTTTCTGTGCGTCAAACTTGTCTGGTTAGGATTACATTTTTGTTAGTCCGCCCATTGTAAAGCGCTACGGAATTTGTTGGCGCTATATAAATATAACAATAATAATAACGTGCGACAGAACAAGGAAAGAGTTTAAGCAAGCTACTATCTCTCTGTAAAACAGATTTCAGAAAAACGTACTGTGTGTACAAGTGACCAGATATGTTTTATCAGTATGTAGTGTAGCATTCTCAAACAACAGATCATCTTTCACTTAGATTAAGGGGATCTTTTTATCCAAATTGTGACTATAAAGAGAAAGGTTTCACAAATTGTTGTAGCTATTTCCCTCAGTTAACATTAAGCAAATAAAAATTAACAAATAACAAAACATACAGCCAGTCACGGTGCATATGCATGGGGCTTCGCATGTTATTGGAGTGAGAATGTTTATTACACACCTAAAACACAGTACACCACACAAACAAAGCAACCTTGACATGTGTCAAGAATGGTTGATAGTACTTTAGAGACAAAATGGTTTATTTTCCAATCTGGTGTTCTACCAGAGCCTCTCATTAAAACTGTTAAGCGGATGTATGTTGTGCAATAATTAAACTGTATATATTTCAACCAAAACATTAAGGGCATCACAAAGTCTGACAAATATACGGAGACACATTCTACAAATGGCCACAATTATTTAAAAGTAAAAACATATATTATCCCAATTACCTACAAAGGCAGCCATTTGAGAAGCTGTTCTCCCAACAGAATTCAATACATCAGGATCAGCTCCAGCCTCCAACATCATCCAGACAATCTCCTTTTTACCTGTATATAAACAGACACAAAAAACGTTAAAAAGTTGCTGTGAATTCTTTCTTTTAATGAGCATGGTAGCAGTGTTCACACAGAGATTTGTCTGTGTTAACAATGATATGCGGTGGACTGACAACCCAGGTTGATTTATTAAAGTAAAGGTACTAAAAATAAAGGTAGGAAGAAACAGGTTTGGTTTTCCCCCCTAGTTTTAGAATTTAATAACATTGAAACCAATCTTGCAAACATATGCCACATTATACAACAATCAATAATTCTCCACCTCAGTAGTTGAATTGCATGGAATGTCGTTTTCTATCCCAACGAGGGTGAAGGGGGGTAAAATAACCTCTAAATCTCGCATCCTGCATCATAATCTGCAGATATTTTACGGTGAGCATTTGTAGCCTAAATAGCATTTGGGTGACAGCCATGTTCAGAAATAAATGTTCCATCTGTACAGGGCAAACTGGCAATTACGTACAAGTTTGACCTGATGTACAAGTAAAACATTCAGAAACTGGAACAAAGAATAAAAACCACAGTTTGAACCCTGTTTACTACGTAGTTGAAAATAAATAAGTACATATTTCCCAGGTTACGCTGTAGATCATAAACCAGGAGCAGGCATGCAAAAGGGCTTAAATCAGATCGGTCAGGTTTTATAAAATAAATAAAGAATTTTGATATTTTCATTGGCTCTCAGCCAATGAATGGATGTCAGGATTCTACAGTAGCTGGATGCAGTTCAGCTGTCATTAGGTGGGGGGGAGGAATCAGCTCCCGCAGCAGTAAGAGTAAATCCATTGCAAAATATTTTACACTCTTACTGGGGATCAGCACCGAGGTACTCCAACTATCATAACCAATATAGCAGGTGGTACTATTAATGATTCTTGGAGTAATCTTTTTCTTTTTCTTTCTTTCTTTCTTTTTTTTTTTTTTTCTCTCCCTCCCTCTTTTAAACTCTACTTCTTGGGAACGATTGACACCCATGTATGGACACCAATCGAATAGAAGGAAGAGAGTTATTTTTTTTTAATTTTGTGTTTATTATTTTCTTACAATGTTACATTCCATTAAAACATTTCTTTAAACATGAGTACAAACAATTGTTCAAACATAAGTACTGTAGTGCGTACATTTTTGTATTAACATTTAAGTCCAGGTACTTTCCTCACAAGGCCTTGGAGGGAGGTAAGAGACATGTTGTCTCCAGGTGTAGAACGGTTAAGTTTACCATGGTAAAGTTGTTTTGCAGAGCAGGAAGGGGGAGGGTTGGAGGGAGTATTCTAGTGATAAAGATGAAGAGGTGGCAGGTCCTGTCAAAAAGAAGACTGTGCCAGCTTGAAAAGCACTCAGCCCAGGTTACCCGACATTGGTACAGGCCTGCAACCACTCACAGTTGTAGTGTACCTATCTTATCTTATCAAAATGTAGAGGTTTTGCTAAGATATTCATTGTAAACTATGCTGGGAGTTGGAGCTACAATCATATGGATCATAGGTATTGATCATGTCCCAAACCTGTGCTATTTTAGGAGGTTTACAACTTTTTCACATCTATAATTATGCTCAACTTTTTGTAATTTGTGGGGGGGTTTGAGATAATAAACTTAGTAACATCTTATTGTAAAATTCTGTTAACATTACACTTCTAATTCTGCAAATGACCTACCCCAAAAAAAAATAAAAAATACCCAGCAACTTGGGCCTTAGATGAATATTTGAATAAGCTTTTTACATTATTTAATAGTGAAAGACTTTTAAAATGATAGAATATTATATATATAATTTTTTTTTTAATGAAAATATTTAGATCTTTTTAATATTTTAAGATTTTGAAAAATGTATCCAAAAATATTAAATAATTTGGAAAGCTTATCCAAAAATGTTAAAATTGAGGCCTTATTTGGAAAAGATTTTTACACAACTTCAGAAATAAAAGGGAATCATGATGGAATATTTCCGTCATGTGTCCTTAAGGGGTTTAAAAAAACACAAACAAAAAAAAAACCCGCTTAACGACATTGCTAAACAAAATGGAAATATTTGTAGACAGAGTAACAAAGATCTATTCTTTTGCAAAGTTAGTAGGAAACAATCAATACAAAGGATTCATTTTGTTAGAATCCATGGAGACTGTGATATTTAAAAGCAGACAACACAGACACACTTGCATAAACCTTCCAATATTAAAGGGGCACTGCAATGCTGACATTTTGCAATTACAAAAACTGTAACACTGCAGAGCTAGTAATGAGGTAAATTAAAGGAGCAACATAACGGTCACCTAAATTTGCATCACCGGAACTATTACTTGTGAGTTTTTCATAAAGAAAGATAATTCATGAAGAACTCATAACGACTGCCTGAATTTCCATGAAATTCCAAAGGAATCGAAAGAGACACATGATAATGAGAGTAGAGACTACTTTATCTCATGCAGACATGGCAAAACGTGTCAATCCGGTGCCACAAATTGCCATTTCCAACCGGCCCTTGGTTGTGGGTGTTGATGGGACCAGGTATCACCTTGCACCCAAGAGCATTTCAGATAGTAGAGGGAGAACTAAGAGGAAATCGTTCTAAAATCAATAAATGAAAAAAAAAAAAAAAAGAAGTGAGTCTATGGAGTCAATTACTGGCTCGTTTGGATTCAAAGCCTCACTTAACTAAATAACCCCGTTAGCATAAAATTAACATCTGTGAATTGCCGATTTTAAACCAGAGACTGGATGGTACTGCATAAGATGTAAACGTTTACAAAAAATCTACAGATTTCCCCACAAATTTCCTTTTGGTAAATATCCAATTAGCAAATCGGCTGAAATCTGGTAATTCTGCAGTGTATTTGGCCCTCAGCCTGCCACACAGTTGTGGATAATGGGTCTAGTGTGACGATTAAATGAAGACTATTCATACCTGAAAGACCAGCAAACATTAGGGCTGTGTATCCATGTTCATGCTCATTACAATTCACTTCTGCTCCATGTTGCAACAATAATTTACACATATCCGCTTTCCCCTTGTAGGCTGCATGCATCAGAGGCGTCATTCCATGCTGTAACGGAAATAAAAAAAGAATATTTATTGTTTGGCATCACAAAAATTTCACACAATGTTAAACAAGGCTTTGGACAAGAGTGACAAACTGTGGTCCCCTAGTTGTTTCTAGAATTATGGGATTAGTGGATCAAAACATTTGAACATCTAAAGGTACACAATGGTTGCATTGGTGGATAATATGGTCCCAAGCTTCTTGTAGTTTTCTGCACGTTTCTACAAGACTTGTCTAGATAATGACCTGATAATTAGCCACTAAAAAGTAAACATAATAAGAGTCCTGAAAAAAATAAAAATCTTATATGGGTTATTATGAGCACCATAAGCACTTTGCATCATTGCAACATGCATGGAGCTTAGAGCAACCTGAATCCACCCTCATTGCTAAGACTGAGCTAAAGTAGCAGCATTTTTAAAAAAAATAGCTGCAACAGAGAAAGAACACTTGGGCTGTTAATCAACCAGCGGGCTGTTAATCAACCAGCTTGGGACAATTCGTTCTGAGATGCATTTATCAATTTCAATCACTTTGCGGCATGAGAACAGGAAACGAAGCTGCAGACTGTGCATGTGTGGTCCATGGCCTAGCCTAGGAGTAAACAACCTTCGGCACTCCAGATGTTGTGAACTGCGTCTCCCATAATGCTTTTACAGCCAAAATGCTTGCAAAGCATCAGGGGAGATGGAGTTCCCAACATCTGGAGTGTCGAAGCTAGTCTACCCCTGGGGCCAATGCAGAAACGTCAAAGCTTAGAAGGAATACAGTCGCTCAACCAAACAAAGAGAGTTATTTACTAAGGCCTGAAAGTGCTTGAGGATTGCATTACTTGGAAACAAATATCCAAAAATGAAATTCATATCATATTACACATATATATATATATATATATATATATATATATATATATATATATATATATATATATATATAAATAAATAAATAAAATATATAACTTTTGGAATGCCAAATCTTTTCAAGGATTTCTTGCAGTTACTTTATTTCTACTGATTTCCTTCAAAGAGTTGTGCTGAGTATTCCCACCGTCTACGTCAAGATGACACACAAACGTTAACGCATGAATGCTGAACTACACTGAACTTGTATTAAAACCCTCTGTTCTGACGGCATACAAATTCTACCAAGCATCACACTGTAATCATGATTAAGTTCATTTGTTCTAACCTGTATTTATTGAACTTTGAGAGGTGAAAACAAAAAAAAAAAAATAAAAACCTCTCCTTGAAAATTAAGAAATCTCCCTGGGGTGACACAACATGTCTTATTATAATAAAGACAATGAACCAAAAAAATAATTTAGAACACGAACAATATAGTGCACTTTTGAATTGATTTTAGCAAGAGGTTTCAGGAACCAGCATAACAGATCTTTATTGACGTGCAGTTTAGACAGCTCTGCATGGTTCTTTTACTTTAAGCACACAGGTAAATTGCTTTTATTTGTTAGGAAAATTACTGGTCAGCTTACTAAAATATCTGTGCACTTTGAAAAGAAAAACAAAAACTCTGTGGCCTCTGACTAACGTTGCCATGGGAACAAAGAAGAGTCTACACGTATGTTCTGTAAACAAGTATGAAAAATGACCGTACTTTACAAATGTAAAATTGCAACATCTATAACGCACAACATTGCGCAAAAGCCCCCCCTCCCAAAAACCAGCAAACATCTTGTCTATCATTAAAATATAGTAAGGTTCAGGGTTTATTGAACAGAAAATGACTTTAACCCATCAAAAATACTATATTCTGATAAATTGAATCATATAACAATACATATTATTTTGCAAAATTGTGAAAGGCATATAATTTCACAATTTTGATTAATTTAAGACTAGTTTATTTAAGACTCGTTAATTATACTCTTTCCTGTTCTGCATTAGGATTGGATGGACTTCATTGGCTGTTGATGCTGTTTTGTCTAAATAGGGACAAACTTAATGGACCACTATAGGCACCCAGACCACTTCAGCTTAATGAAGTGGTCTGGGTGCCAGGTCCAGCTAGGTTGAACCCTTTTTTCTATAAACATAGCAGTTTCAGAGAAACTGCTATGTTTATAATAGGGTTAATCCAGCCTCTTGTGGCTGTCTCACTGACAGCTGCTAGAGGCGCTTCTCACTGTGATTTTCACAGTGAGAAGACGCCAGCGTCCATAGTAAAGCATTGATAATGCTTTCCTATGGACTGGCTGAATGCGCGCGCATGCGCAGTCAGCTGGTGACGGAAGAAGAGGGAGGAGAGCTCCCCGCCCGGCGCTGGAGAAAGAGTTAAGTTTAACCTCTTCCACCCCCTAGAGCTCGACGGGAGGGGGACCCTACGGGTGGGGGCACCCTCAGGGCAATATAGTGGTCCTTTAATATAGCTAATTTGCAAGGAGAAATTCGACATCCCAGAAATAGAAGCAGGATCGAATTCACCTGGGGTACCCACATAAGGGTCAAAACACTCAAAAATGCTTTGATTGTTTACTACAAAATGGCACCAGGAGAGTCCTGACACTATAACCATTACAGTGGGCTGTATGGTGTCTTGACTATCCCTGTAATGGTTAAATGAGGGCGAAAGACTGAAGAGGGACAGAAAAAAAAAAAAAGTTAATAAAAAACAAACAAAAATTACAAAAGTACTTACTGGCTTCTAAAATGAATAGTTGTGGCCTTTAAAATGCTGCACAACATTTAAAACATTGCCAAGTACCACATGACATTATATATATGCTGCACCAACATTGGTGAATAGATTGCAAGCTCATTTGAGCAAGGACTTCGTCACCTCTAAATATCCCCATTTTATAACTGTAAAGTGCTGCTGAATATGTGGTGCTATATAAATACTACTACTCTAGGCTGTGGAAAATGATTTGTATACTTCTTACCATAAGTGGACATGTAGGCCATAGACACAAACATTGAGAAATTGCTCTCACGAGCTTTTCTGAACCCCAGTTTTCACCAGGGAGTTGTAATCGCTTGTATCGCTTAGAAACAGAGGAAGCATTCCATCTACCGTGGAAAAAAATAATCTCCAATGTGTATTGGATGGAAAATGGTCATGCAACTACAGCAGAGACAATAGCGTACATATTTACACTACTTCACTTTTCTATACTGCAAGTACCTAACTATATATTGAATTAGAGGTCACAATGCCCAGCTTGCAATCTCCATTCTGGATACATTGATCTTCTGTGCAGTAATATTTGGTGTGATTCTCAAGATTGTACACTTGTTTAAAAAGTGAAATGTTTGCATGCTGAAATTATTTGTTAGATTTTTGTTTACTCATTGCACAGTAGGGTAGAATATTTTTAATATTTTGAAGCCATCAATATAAAGATTCCAACTCAAAAAAACTTTTTAAACTTAAATCAAACCAAGTGCTTTAATAGAGATACTTATTTTCTGTTTTTGTTTTTTTAAATACTACTAAAAAAAAAAAAAAAAAAAAAAAGATAGGGGCAGTAGGGGGTTGGAATAAAGGTAAGGGAAAAAAAATTAAAAACCTAAAGGGTCACTATATGCACCCAGACCTCTTCATCTCATTGAAGTGGTCTAGGTGTAGTGCCCCTGTCCCATTATTCTTGCAAAGTAAAACACTACAGTTTTCCAGACAGCCACCAGAGACACTTCCTGCTGCCACCAGAGTTTTACTATGTGAAATTCTCCAAAGGAAAACATTAATTTAATGTTTTCCAATGGGCAAGCATTAATGAGCGCACAGCACTTGGACCCGCATGAACATTAGGTTCCCCAATCACCATGACGTTGCGGGAGGAGGAGACCTAGAAACAGGTGAGAGTGAAAATTGCTTTTAACCTTTTTATGCCCGAAAGTGGGAGGAGGGCTATTAAATTAGGGACAGGAACACCATAGCATTAGGAATACAGGTTTGTATTTCCATAGCTATAGTGCTCGCTTAATGTAGTAAATGGAAACAGTCACGATTATTTAAAATCACCAATAAGTTAAGATTTAAGTGATGCTGAATTTTCTTTTAATTGTATATTAAAGATTCATTAAAGGGACACTATAGTCACCAGAACAACTACAGCTTAATGAGAGAAAAGGCGGTGTTTACATTGCCTCTAGGGACACCTCCAAGGGCCCACTCCTTAGATGGCCACTGGAGGTGCTTCCTGGCTCAGTGCTGACGAAAAAGCACCACTGACGTTCAGCGTCCCCACGCTCTGTATGGAGACGCTGAAATTTCCTCATAGAGATGCACTGATTCAATGCATCTCAACGAGGAGGTCCTGATTGGTCAAAATGGCATTTGGCTCCGCCCCTGTGTTGGTTTTAGCCAATCCAATGCTTTCCCCACAGGAAAGCATTGGATTGGCTAAAAATCCAGCATTTTGATGATGGCACAAAGGGGGCGGAGCCAGCACTGGCAGACCTGCGAGGCGCTGGAAATAAGGTGAGTTTCAAATTTCTATAGGGGGCTAAGCCACCGAAAGGTTGGGTTAAACACTACAGGGTCAGGAATACATGTTTGTGTTCCTGACCAAATAGTGTTCCTTTAAATTATATCACAATCCAGTTCAGTCCTGGCACAGCCAGGGCATAAACTCCATATGCAGAACATTCTGCCTGTTTGTCATTTTCGCTCTATAGCGATTGCAAGGTGCAAAGGTCAGAGTTCATAACAATGACTGACACCAAGATAAGATGCATTTGCTCAGTTTAAGAAAATAGGTCAATACAGTAGGGCATATTCCTACATTTAATATTTTTCATACCGCACAAACAAAAAAAATTGCATTATTGTTCAATATAAGGGAGTAAGTATAAACATAAAAGTAAGCAATCTGAATCAGCCTGATCCTTCATCTTTAAGTAATCTCCACTTTAAAAAATGACCGTCTCACCTCATCCAAGCAATTGACGCGAACCTCCTTGCTGCCTAAACACCGTCCTGCTTCCTCAACTGTGCCTGTAGAAGATAGATAATGCATGTAAAGAAATATTTTCAATGGTTGAAATTTATAATATCTAAGCATTTAACCAAGAAATGAAATCTAGCAAATTGCAAGTCACCACGTCAAATTAAAACAAAACAAAAAAGTCACTTGACAACTTCCCCTGCAATTTGTGGACTCTGATCAGTAGATTCCAACCAGAAGGCAGATTTATGATGGGCTACATGAAAGAATTGCTGGGCCAAGAGAGCTAGTAATGATACCAGGTGACTGTGTCAAGTCACTCACATAAATAAAAAAATTTAAAAATATTTATTGGCAGATCTTTCGCAATTCATACATTTTTACTTCTGGGGTACAGTTCAGAAATTCATATATGTTGCATCATTTATGTAAACGCCACCTAAACAACCAATTTGTATTTATATCATCAGTATGGCTATTAAGGCACAGCCTGGCATTCAGTGTAAATCATACGAATCATCTGATGCCATGGTCAAAGGCTCTCAAGGACACCTGCGTATCTAGAGCATCATGGGAAGCATGAGCAAGAGCTTACGCACGTGCACTCACACACACTTTTGTATAGTGCTGTGGAATGAGTGTTAAAATTGAGACAGCAGTACTAAGAAGTGCTCTGGAGTCATATGTTTAGATTGTAAGCTCACGGGCAGGACCTTCTACTTTTTGTATCATTTATCTGTTTATCCGTATCCGTTTATATTGTATTGTCTTTTTCCCCAATTGTACAGCGCCGTGAAATTGGCGCTTTATAAATGACAGTAATAAATAAATATGTTATTTCAGCTGTACGTCCTCATCCCAGTAAAGATTCAAAATAGTGTTTATTGGAGGGAGTGAAAGAACGGTTATCATCTCAAAAGGTAACATCTCTTAACATCTTTCGGAACAAAAAACAAAACAAGCCCCATTAACCTACACTGCACAAAATGATAGAACGATAACTAGATGTTTTCTTTAACCACAGACATGTCTAACAATGCATCATACAGGGCAGAGAGATTTCAAATGTAGCTCTGCGATATACATTTACCAAACTTATTTTCTAGGGGACACCAGGTCACCCCCCCTCCCCAAGTGAGAACTTGAAGTGTATACTGAATGTAACAAACATTTAATATCTTGATTTAGAAGAGTTAACAAAAAGGATTAGCAGCAAGACAGTCTGAATTCACCATCTTTCCAATTATTATAGAAGCACAGCTTATCTGCGCTCTGCTGAGCCTTGTTACAATCACTGCAGATTATCTCTTTAATTATGTCTAGAGCGGCTTACTAGGCTGTGCAGATTTCAAATATATTATGCAATACTTGACACCTTGCCCTCAAAAAAATGCATATAAAAATATCAAAACCTAAATGGCTGAAAAAATATAGCAAAATTTTAACACGTCTTTCACATAAGTTATAGTTTTCCAATATTTATTTACAGACGTATTCATTAAAGTGAGAATACAACGTGAGTTTGGAATTTAAAACAAAAGTAGCCAAAATGGAGGGATAGCAGAGTTCGAGAAGATTTCCATTTTGGAAATTAAGGGGTCTGGATGCCATTATTGGGCATTTCAAAATCCAGGGTACATATCGATTTTAAGTGGGATTTTTGTGACCTAATGTCACTCCCCCCATTTGGCACTTTGTCCCAATGTTCTCATTTTTAGTGGACTGAAGCCAGAAACCTTGCATAGCTCTCTTTATTTTGCTGCATCCATTCTTTCTTCCTTTATAGCAAAATTAATCATCCCTGTTGATGTGTTAAATCATAGTGCCAGCTTCACCTTAGCTCGCTGTCGGGATAGCGTATCCTGAGCTATGGGCCGTGGAAAGTTAGTGACAACAATACAGCAAAAGTAGCCTTATCTTGTCAACTCCAAATACGCATTTCAGTAATGTGGTGTTTTTTTATTGCCAACCTTCCCTATAGGCCCATTACGCAGAACCTTTTTAAAAAAATTTTTTTATCCAAATCGGACTGTTGTACCATCACTCCATTCCCAGTCACAAACATATATCCCAATATGCATAGATGTAGTGGGACAGCCTCAACTTTGCCTCCCATGGCGAGAACGCTAAAGACGAGAAAAGCATGAGCGCACCTTGATTTCTTGCACAAACTGAATTCAGTGCGTGTTGTCATATCTTGTCTAACCTATTTTAACAGAAAACCTTAAAAAAACGACACTATAGACACCTAGACCACAAAGTGTCCCTGTCTCACTTAGTCCTGCAATGTAAAACATTGCAGTTTTAGAGAAACTGCAATGATTACCGCGCAGGACTAAGACTGCCTCTAGTGGCTGTCAATTAGATGGTTAATAGAGGCAATTCCTGCTTGCTTGAGGACATCCAGCGTCAAAGATAACCCCATAGGAAAGCATAGCTGCAATGCTTTTTATGGAGAGGGCCTAATGCGCTCGCCGCACTCAAGCATTAATCACCCACGTAGGATGACAGAGGAGGCGGAGAACTGACCCAGCGCCAAGGGAGATCAGCAACGGAATAGGGTGAGTATAGTAAAAGTTTTTAACCTTTGCCATGGTGGGTGGGGAAGGAGGGTAGAGGCAGAGGGAAGTATAGTGTAAGGAATACAAACTGCAGTATACCCCTAACCACTACAGCCTATTGCAGTGGTTATGGTATTAAGAGCAATATCAAAACAGTTTGTTTCTTTAGATGGCAACAATAGGCTGAGAGTTCAAGCATTGTTCTAACATTGCTGCATAAATTTGACTTGACTGTAGGTGCCAGGAGAGACAGAGCCCCCACATGCTTCACTATGAGCTGTTATGGTGATTAAAGTGTCCCTTTAACATATATTAGATCAAATAAGGCTGAAAATTATAATGACAGGTGTTTGTAAATGACATTTTCCATTATGCTCTGCCAGCTTGTATTATACGCCACTGGCAGAGACTATGGAAATGGCTCCCCACTGCATGAAATTAATGAGCAATATTATGATGGTTAATATACTCAGTGAGTGGACAACCACACTCCTGTCCCTTAAAGGACCACTATAGGCACCCAGACCACTTCAGATTAATGAAGTGGTCTGGGTGCCAGGTCCATCTAGGATGAACCCTTTCTGCTGTAAAAATAGCAGTTTCAGAGAAACTGCTATGTTTACCTATGGGTTAATCCAGCCTCTAGTGGCTGTCTAATTTAGAGCCGCTAGAGGCGCTTCCCACTGTGATTTTCACAGTGAGAAGAAGCCAGCGTCCATAGGAAAGCATTGAGAATGCTTTCCTATGGACTGGCTGAATGCGCGCACGGCTCTTGAAGCGCATGCGCATTCAGCCGATGACGGGAAAGGAGGCGGAGAGTCCCCACCGCCGAGGGAGCCCGGTGGTGGAGAAAAGGTATGTGTTTAACCCCTTCCTCACCCTAGAGCCTGGCGGGAGGGGGACCCTAAGTGTGGGGGGGGACCTAGAGACCCTATTAGTGCCAGGAAAACGAGTATGTTTTCCTGGCACTATAGTGGTCCTTTAATGCATCCTTTTGATAAGATGGGGAGTCTTTTCTTTAGTTACGGGCAGGTAGGGTGTGAGTTAAGTATTTAATGGATTACTTCATTCTTACTGCCATATTCTGGCTCTTATTAATTAGGGGTACTTGTGTTGGGATATTGGTAATTTAATGGGACCCACAGCTCATCCCTTGCTGATGGGGAGGTGATTGGTTTAATGGAGTCATGGGAACCCTGCACAATTAAATAAAGGGATATGACTAATGACTTCTCTTCTTTTCCCACATCCTGTGTGCGGTAGGGTGTGGGTAAAATAATGCAGTGTTGTCCCACTATTGCTACTACTCCAGGTGAGAAAGGAGCATTAACATAGCAGTGGTCCCTAAGGCCCCTTATTAAAGAGGAATGTTTGACTCTGAAGTAAAGAACAGCATGATTACAGTGAAAATAATTAGTATGCTATGCCATGCACGTAAGGAGTAAACATTTGTTTTTACAGCATAACGAGAGGAAGGTGTCTGAGTTTCCGCACCAATTTTGCTATCTGTCCTCTTTATTGTTCCTGGGGGGAAAGAGTGTGACATAGATTATATTCTTCGACATGTCATCACGATGGAGTATCCAATATTCTACTATGATGTAAATTATTACCGGGTATTGAAAGGAACCGCTGCAAAAAAATTCTGGGCACCCCTGATCTTTATTTAGCAACAGAATTGTATATTATGTTGTGTGTATTCGTGTTATAGAAGGGGGTGGTAGAGCCTATGTGATGGTACAGCATGCTGCAGTGATTATGGTGTCAGGAGACCCTGGTGCCCAAAGTAGTAACACTGTTTAAGAATGGTTTGACTTCTCGTCTGGGGCAGCATTCCCTGCACCACTAGAGTGCTCAGAGAGCCATTAGCACTCCTAATTAGTGCTGGGCTTTGCTCAGAATGAGAACCTATGGCTCTATGAAGGCTGTAGTGGATGCAGAAAGTGGGGCCAGGCAGACCCCAGGTAAGGAGCCACCAGTTAACTACACCATGAACACTACATTGTGCAGTAGTGGTTATGGTGCTTAGAGTATTCCTGTAAATGGTTTGACTACTTACTCTGGGAGGATAACAGAGGAATAAACAGAATGTTCATATAGAAACATTGGGATGTTATTGTTCTTCTGGATGAACAGCACAGAGAGGAGTTAAAGGACCATTATAGTGCCAGGAAAGCATACTCGTTTTCCTTGCACTATAGTGCCCTGAGGGTGCCCCCACCCTCAGGGTCCCCCTCCCGCCCGGCTCTGGAAGGGGGAAAGGGTTAAAAACGTACCTTTTTCCAGCGCTGGGCGAGGAGCTCTCCTCCTCCGATCCTCCTTCTCTCCTCCTCCTGGGCTGAATGCGCACGCGCGGCAAGAGCTGCGCGCGCATTCAGCCCGTCGCATAGGAAAGCATTTACAATGCTTTCCTATGGACGCTTGCGTGCTCTCACTGTGAAAAACACAGTGAGAAGCACGCAAGCGCCTCTAGTGGCTGTCAATGAGACAGCCACTAGAGGATTAGGGGGAAGGCTTAACCCATTCATAAACATAGCAGTTTCTCTGAAACTGCTATGCTTATAAAAAAATGGGTTAACCCTAGCTGGACCAGGCACCCAGACCACTTCATTAAGCTGAAGTGGTCTGGGTGCCTAGAGTGGTCCTTTAAAGCTGGGCCTTTTCTTTCAGCTTGTATATTAGTATGTAACTATATAAAATCGATTTTGTTTCTGTACATTTTCCTTGCCTTTTTTCCAACACACCATCTGGATGACATTAGCAGCATTACAAAATGGAACTCATTTGACACACATCAACCCCTTCTAGGAAGAATCTGGTACTACTGTGCCAGGGTTATTCAATAAAGTCACACTTGTCAACTGGCTCGTTAATTCCTAAGCAAGTTCAATGTGAAAGAAACGACTCTAAATAGCCCATTGACTTTAGTCATTTTATCTAGGGGCCTGTTTTGTGTTCTTGCACAAACACAAAATATACCAAGGACAGTGGTTATTACAAGAGTTTAAATTCAGTAAATACCTACGGATGTAATTTCAATCTTCCTTAAAATTACTTGTACAGAGTGTGCACACCATACATGTCCCACTGACTTTTATAGACTGTCGTGTAGTTTTTAATAAATAAAACTATGAATACAAGTGCTGCTGATCGCTTTCTTAATTTATGACGAAACATAAATGAGCTATTTAGAAAGATATAAAAGTAATGTGGAAGCTCCTAGTAGCGTAAAACAACACTCCGATAACAATTACAGACTGCTGTAGTGGTCATGGTACTCAGAGTCTCTTCTCAGGGTAAGTAGTCAAACCTTTTCAGACTAGCCTGGAAACGTACCTGGTGTATGGTGGGGGCTGGTCACCATTTTCCATGGAGCCAGCAGCTGCAGTGACCCAAACTCTGTCATGCAGGCAATACAGGGCTTAGTTTATTGGCTGAGAGTGATCAGCTGACGTTCTCAGCCAATGAGCTAAAAACCTGAATTACATGCTACCTCAGTGCAAAAGAGGCAACCGGTGACCAGCAGACCTCGGGTAAGTTGTTAAAGTCAAACTCCAGTGCCTGGTCCCCTCTCCCTCCCACCCCCAATCCCCGGTTGCTTAAGGGGTGAAAACTCCTTAAGTCACTTACCAGAGACCCCGCCGGTGTCCCTCGGCAGTGGTTTCCTCTCGCCGCCGCTCCTCCCAGTCTTTACGTCGGCCGGTGGGCGAGACTGATCCCGCCCATTGGCCGGGGAGACCAGTGTCGCGCATGCGCATTAGAGCTCCCCATAGGAAAGCATTGAAAATGCTTTCCTATGGGGAATTGAGCGACGCTGCAGGTCCTCACACAGCGTGAGAACGTCCAGCGACGCTATAGTTCAACTTGTGCTATAGAGCAGGAAGTGCAGCCACTAGAGAAGACAGCCACTAGAGGAGGAGTTAACCCTGCAAGGTAATTATTGCAGTTTATAAAAAAACTGCAATAATTACAGTTGCAGGGTTAAGGGTAGTGGGAGTTGGCACCCAGACCACTTCAATGGGCAGTGTCCCTTTAAACCAACTATTCTCAAATGGTTTAACTACTTACTTTAGGAAGGTGCAAGGGCACTCCTGGCACCATAACCACTACAGAAATCTGTAATGGTTATTGTGCGTGAAGTGTTCATAAGCAACTGGTTGCATGTATATACTGGCACAAATATATGCTAAACTATATATCTTAAGTGTGAGAATATAACAAATGCTAAGTGCTCCTACTGACAATCACAGTAGTGACAAATTAATCAGGGCTCTCTACCACTTCCCATTGCAAAGCTGCAGATAAGCAGGGAACAGGGAAATAAAACAATTATACACATTTTATTTGTTATCAAGCTGCTTCCTATTTTTCAATGTATTATCTCCTTTATCGGAATTTGCACAACTGTTAAAATCAATTTGGTGTCAAAACATTATTTATAATACAACATGTTCAGCAATTTTTGGCACAAGAGATGGGTGGCATCTCTAGCCATTCTATGCGGAATATTAACCCTCACATGGCTGTCCATGGCATATGGATGTAGGAGAGATGGGCGAGTCTTATTTTTCAGTTAATATTTACCATATGAGAGAGAAGACAAGTAAAAAAAGGCGCTCAATACACGTCTAAAATAATAACAACCATAAAACCTATAAAGTAATATTTACCATATATCTGCCCATAGCCTGATGCTCTCAGTCATTAAATATATTTATTCTCTTCCTGCACCATTTCAAAATGTAATCAAGTCCAACTTCAGGTAAATGTAGATTTAACCGCTGTGATGTTGAGATTGCCAAAAATTAATAGATTAAAAAGGTCTTACTTTTCCTGCAAAATGGGATACACGACCACAGGTCATGCAGCTGCCCTCCTAAATTATTCACCTAAAATCTACAATTCCAGGCATGTTGGTGTGCTTGACACTCTCTCACTTAATGGGGCTTTGTCTCTTATTTATAAGATATTTTCTTATACACCTATAAACCTCCATATATGTCACTATCACATGTAGTTTAGCACCACAGAAAAAAAAAGTAAAGTGAAATTATTTGTCACCTGTAGATGTGCCACCTATTTATGAAAACCATGTTTGGATGAAATGTATTCTCTATATTATTACAAAATAAGCTCAGGTATACTATATTAAATTATTCTAAACACACTACATGAATTGGTATAATATTCTGTTCTATGTATTGTCAAAGGCCTACTGAATCCACAGTACTAATAACATTTCAACATCACTGTAACCCCTTTCCGCTTTATCCTGGGCCATATGGGGTAATTAAATGATCACTTAGAGAACATGTATGTGCTTTTATTCCAGATTATATAGCATGTAGCCTACTTACTGCTTGCCCTGATGGGTACCCACCTTTAGAAATGACTGTGATCAGCTCCCTCTCCTCCTCTGTCAGGTCTCCTTTCTTGGGAGCCATGTTGTTGGGATATGTAGTCAGTGGGTGCCTAGTGAGGTTACACTAGCATTAAACAATACGAAATATACAATTACGGTAAACGCTGAGGACTCACACAAACACCCTCCTTTCAACAACCATTGCAACTACTGGCAGACTCAGCCCCAGGACACATCCTGAGCCTGCTCCCGGCGCATACCATCTAACACGCCTGAAATAGGGGGGTTAGCCATCAGTAACGGCCGACATAGACCATCTGTACCAATATAATAACCGTCATCACATAAAATGGAATTTAAAATGACTTTTAATATTAATCTGGAGGGTTACTGAACACAACAGAGGCGTTGGTGGGTAGAAAGTTTGGATGTAATAGAAAGTCCACCCCTCCCAGAATGGAGTTGGTTGCGTCCGCCTGTCAGTGCGCACTGCTGTTAGCTGCCTGTGAGAGTCAGTCTGAGAGGCTGCCCTTCAACCGGTGTCCTATTGTCTAACAGTGTGTGACAGCGGAGCCAGACCGAGCAGGTAAGTGTGCTGTGCTTCAGGTACTGATCTGGGTCACACCATGGTGCCCTCAGGGCCGAGAGTCACAGCACTCCTTACAATATTACACACACAGTGCTCATGCAAAGCATCCATGCACACAGACACACAGGGACAAATACAGTGTATCCACACGTGCAGCTTTAGAACGTTCTAAGATACTTTGTATCAATGCAATATCTTCCATGGACAGTTGCACACCCACATATTGTACAACATCACACCGACAATCTGTAAGTAGTATGGGGAGTAAACAAGGCTGAGGCTAGTAACACAATCACAGCTGAATAGCCCTATGGGGAAAAAATGTGACTGGTTAAGGGGACATGCTAAACACGAAAAATGGGATATAGAACAGGGTTCTGCAATAAAACAAGTACTGTAGATACTATCACAAATATATTTGAATGTAAAAAAGAAAAAGATGATAATGAAGCAAATGAAACGACATCAACAGAGTGATCTGAATTATATTGCAAAACTAGGAGAAAGGTAAGACATGCTAAACAAAAAAATAACATAATTGAATGTAAAATAAAATTTTATGAGAATTCCTGAGCAAAATAATGTGCTTTTAAATAACCCAGGCCACCTATGTGAAAGATAAGGATTTGTAATTTATTGAAGGCATTTTGTCTTTATTTACTTTCGTGAGATTGATTTTATTATTTGCAGGGAGAGATGCTGTCTGCTACAAATGCTTCATTCCTTTAATATGAACATGCATAATGAGTATATAACAGTTGAAATGAATCGTCTCTAGTGCATGTAAGAGTGTCAGCACTATGCATAAGTGACAGTAAGCATAGCACTGTGCTTTTAAATGGATTATTAATTCTGCAATTCTATTTTAATATAAGTATACTGTGATTTCAAATGGATTATTAACACTGCAATATTATATTTTAATAGCACTGCTCTCTATATATTTAGTAATATTTGCCATTCACAGTACTGCAGACTATGTTTTGTACTTTAAAAATATAATATATTTTTACAAATCGGTTATTCTGTGTGTGAAAGTGGATGTTGCATTGCCTGGCAATTTTTTCCAATGGTTGCACATGGGAATTTATTAAGAGTAATTCTAGAGATCTTATACCTTAACTGAGATTAACTTGAGAAAAGTAGGATATGATGGCTGTTAGAAATATAGTATAATTCAGGGTCAAGTATCTGCTTTCTGTTATCACTAGTATGGTAAGAAATTGTAACTAACGATGGCTGCCTGCACATTCCTGGGAGGATCAGGATGGTATGTGCTGAAACCAATGTAGTGGTTTTACAGTTAATCAGTTGGGTTTATTCTGAGGTAGGTTTTCTTAATTCATTATTGACCAGATGGGTCAGTATGCCTCAGGAATTTATGTCCCAAACGGGCAAGAGATTTTAACCCCTTAAGGACCAAACTTCTGGAATAAAAGGGAATCATGACATGTCACACATGTCATGTGTCCTTAAGGGGTTAAAGAACTTAATCGCTAAGACCTCAAAACAAAAGGAATGCTGCACCATGGCCCAAAAACATATTTCACTTTCTGTCCCACCTTAAAGGACCACTCTAGGCACCCAGACCACTTCAGCTTAATGAAGTGGTCTGGGTGCCAGGTCCAGCTAGGGTTAACCCATTTTTTCATAAACATAGCAGTTTCAGAGAAACTGCTATGTTTATGAATGGGTTAAGCCTTCCCCTATTTCCTCTAGTGGCTGTCTCATTGACAGCCACTAGAGGCGCTTGCGTGCTGTGATTTTCACAGTGAGAGCACGCCAGCGTCCATAGGAAAGCATTATGAATGCTTTCCTATGTGACCGGCTGAATGCGCGCGCAGCTCTTGCCGCGCGTGCGCATTCAGCCGACGGGGAGGAGAGAAGGAGGATCGGAGGAGGAGAGCTCTCCGCCCAGCGCTGGAAAAAGGTAAGTTTTAACCCCTTTACCCTTTCCAGAGCCGGGCGGGAGGGGGACCCTGAGGGTGGGGGCACCCTCAGGGCACTATAGTGCCAGGAAAACGAGTGTTTTCCTGGCACTATAGTGGTCCTTTAAGAGTGGTGGTTAATAACCAGGCAGGGACTATTAAACTGGCTCCCCATGGCCTTAAATCATGAGCAATATTATGAGGGTTAATATTCTCAGTGAGTGAACAACTACACTCCTGTTCCTTAACGCATTTTTTTCGATAAGATGGGGAATATTTTCTTTAGTGATGGGCGTACGGTATGATGTAGGATGTGAGTTAAGTATTCGGTTATTTCACTCTTGCCGCCACATTCGGGCTCTTATTAATTACGGTTACTTATGCCGCTTACCCTCTTCCCAGATCCCAGGTGTGTAGGGGTGTTGGTAAAGTAATCGAGAATGGGGCCCACAGTTTTATTCCTTGCTGATGGGGTGATAACTGGTGACCACTTAACTGTGCATTGCTCCCATGATCCCATTAAACCAGAGGGACCTGATTAATGTCTCAGCTTCTTTTCCCACATCCTGTGTGCAGTAGGGTGTGGGTAAAATAATGCAGTGTTGTCCCACCACTGCTACTACTCCTGGTGAGAAGGAATCATTAACATAGCAGTGATCCCTAGGGCCCCTTATTAAAGAGGAATGTTGGACTCTGAAATAAGGAACAACACTACTACAGTGAAAATCCTTAGTATCCAATGCCATGCATGTCAGGGTTGAACTTGTTTGTGATCACAGCATAATGCGAGGAAGGTGCTTGAGTTTCCACCAATTTCCCAGAAGTGCTGTGTGTTTTCTGCCACATGCCCCAGTTAGCGCTTTCAAAATGTTTACTACAGTGAGTAAAAACAGAACTGGTCTAAAGTCATAGTGTAAATTGCAGAACGAGACCACACTCATTGGCAGGTGCACCCACAAATACAATGCTACAAAGTCCATGGTAACCAGATCTTTGTATACTGAAAAAAACAAAAGGATAGTAAAGAACAAGTAGGATTTTTATCCTACTTACCTACCTAGTCTCTTCCTTCTGGTGGTGGATTCAGAAACTAGTGGTGGAAGGGTAGCAGCGCCTTAGTGGGGTCCCCAGGTTCAAATCAATATGCAAGATAAAAGAAACTAGCAGAAACTGAAACGTGTGAAAGCTCATGGCTGGCGCAAACCACTAGACGAATTAGGCAACCACCTAGTGCGCACTGGCCTGGGTGACACAGTGTCTGGATGACTGGCAGGATTGGAGCACACTGCACAGTGCTCCCCTCCTGCTGCCGTTCACTGCCGAGCGTACCATGGGTAGAGGATCTTCTGTATCTTCCTTCTGACAGGAAGGGCTCACAGAGAGCACCGAACAGGTTCCTGTCAGCCTGGGTAGAGGAAACAGAAGATCCTCCACCTAGGTCCGCAGTCCAGCCATGCTACATAGAGGAAGGTGAGCTAGCATAGAGGAGAGAGGCACACAAAGTGGTAGGGGGGAAGAAAGAGACACACAAAGGGGCGGGTGGAAGAAAGAGACACACAAAGGGGCAGGGGGAAGAAAGAGACACACAAAGGGGCAGGGGGAAGAAAGAGACACAAAGGGGTGGGGGAAGAGACACACACAAGGGCAGGGGGGAAGAAATAGACACACAAAGGTGCAGGGGGAAGAGACACAGTGGGGCTTAGAGGGGAGAAAGAGACACACAGTGGGGTTGTGAAAGGGGGAAAAAAGAGACACACAAATGAGTTGGGGGAGAAAGAGACATACAAAGTTGGCCATTTTTGTTTTGGGTATGGGAGGGGATGCAAAAAGCTGGACTTTCCTAGGGTGCAAAATACTCACACTGGCCCTGTGAAAGCTTGAACTTGATGGCCTTTTGTCAGCTTATATTACTATTTAAATGTATAATTTTATTTCTGTAATTTTTTATTTTATTTTTGTCATGGATACCTTAGGAATCTATCTATCCAGATCCCCGCATCTTCAATAACTTCATCTGCCTCGCCCAGATCACCTGCTCTGCAAAAACTTCTTATTGGCCTGCTTTGGGAAGTCTATGCTTCACATGTCTATCATCATACTGTTTGTAAACTTTTGAGACTGCAATATTTATGGTCTATATTTTCTGAGCTCCTGGAACCATTATAAATGTCACTTAAAGCCATACAAAACTCAAAGTCCCAAAGACCACAGATCTTTGCTATTTTTACGTTTGGCTGATCATTTATCTTTTGACAGAGTCTGTATGCTTTATTGCAAGATGACAGATTATGATTGGTAGTTTAGCTGTTTACATTAAGGAGTGTGTACCTTATACATGAAAAATATTCCATGTTGAACCCTGAACCTATGAGCAATTTTCCGTGTGTGTGTGTGTGTGTGTGTGTGTGTGTGTGTATAAAAAAAACAAAAGCCAAAATTATTTATATATAATATATAATTTATTTTTAATTTTTTTTTTTATATATATATTTCTTCCAGATTATAGGCATTCATTAAAATAGCTGTTCAGGTTAATTAGCTGATTTACATGTGTCTAGAGTAAACAAATTGCATAAGAAATTCACTAATATTGTAAATTTATAAATAAATAAATGCTTCAAATCTGTGAAGACTAAGAGGCAACCTTCTGTGTAAGACACAGTAGCATAGTGACCTGCAACACCACACAGCATAAGGTGTCCCTCTATACATAATACAAATTCACCTCTTT